TGAACATGGTCTTGGAAGAAGGGCACATGGGGACAATAGAGAAGAGAAAGCCATATGAGGACAGAGGCAGAGGCCAGCTGGTGCAGCCACCTGCCCAGGGTCACCCGGAGCCATTAGACCATGAACAAGAAGAACACATCATCCCTCCAGGAGCCTACAGGGCTGGGGGTGGAGCTGCCAGCACTTTGATTTCAGACTTCCTGTCCTCTTAGCTGGGACATAATGGATCTTTCTCATTTCAGGACATCCAGTTTTCGCTAACTTATAAAAGCCCAATAGGATCAATACATAGTTAGATCCCCACGCAAGTCGGAGAAGTTTCATGAGTGGCAGAGCGGGGAGAGTGGGGAAAGGGGGGCAATTTGTTGTTTGTTGGGATGCGACACATGAGAAAGGCAGAAGGCTGAGTAGCCAGGCTTGCAGCCCGTAGCTGGTCTCTTTCTCAAGGGTCCTGGGCATGGCCTGGGAAACACAGCAGTCATGCTCCGGCTCTTTACTGAATGCTGCATGATCTCTTCCTTTCCAACACCGTGGAATCAAATTCAAGCCAAGCACCTCTACCCACTGAGACATCTGGCTGCTGCCAAACCTGCTCCTTTAAGAGTCCACTCCTGCGGTGACTAACCCAGGTTTTCTCCCACTGTGGCGACAGGAAGCAAGTGAGACCCCAATCTGTCTGCTTGCCAAGATGAGCGAGCAGGTGCCGATAAAGAACAGGTGCGTCCTGCGATGTATAGGAGCACAGGTGCAGAAGCAGAAAATAGCTGAGCACCCTGCAAGTCTGCTCAGATCCGGGAGACCTGTGTGCAGCCCCAAGAGGCATAGCTTCTACCGAAGGGATATTAGGATGGAAGCAGGTGGTGGGTAGGCTCCCCAACACCATCTGCACCCCAGCTTCCCCAGATACCCAGTCCAGGGACCAACGTGGTTCTCCTAGGCCCTGTGACAACTGAAAAAAATAACAGAATATAAATCCAGAGACGAGCTGTCTTGTACCCTGATGACAAAGGAACTTGAATGATTTAGAACCAGAATATTCTTTTTTTTTTTTCACAATGGCACCTGGAGTTGCCAGGAATAGTACATGCACTAAAATTAATGGGCAGAGCTCATTTTTCTTATTTTGCAGGCAGAGAAGTTCCATTGGTGGGTAATGGATGCTGATCTGGACGTGCCGGTGAGCCGGCTGGGGGATCAATCACCCACATGCAACAGCTCACAGCCCTTTAAACCAACACCAGCTGTGACAAATGGAGCTGGCTGGGGATAGGCGGAAAGGAATGCAGACGGACGATCCATCAACATCCTTGTGGCGGCTCACAGGTCCCAGGGGCCTAGGATCCTTCTTGGTCTCCTACAATAGAGTCATTTTTCAGTAGGGCTGGACTGAAAGGACAGAGCTATCTCAAGGAAGACTTTGGCTGTTGACACACAAGGTCAACATCCCCAGATCTGCCATTCCAGATGCCACTGTCCTGGGCCAGCCACCACTTCTGCCCCTTTACATTCCCAGCCTGGTGGAGCTGATAGTCAACACTTAAACTCAACATTCACTGAGAGAATCGGTGGATGGGTGGGTGGATGGATGGGGTGGGTGAGTGTCTAAATGGATGAGTAGGCGGATGGGTAGATGGATGGATGAATGAATGAGTAGATGGATGAATGGATGTATGGATGAGTAGGTAGATTTATAGATGGATAAATGGATAATGAGTAGGTGGATGTATAGGTGGATGTATGAGTAGGTGGATGGATAGATGGATGGATGAGTGGTTAGATGGGTGGATGGGTAGATGTCTGGCTGGCTGGCTGGATGGATGGATAGATAAGTAGATGGACAAATGAATGACTGAATTATTGAGTTGGGAAATCACATTTCTTCCTTCCAACTTCAATTCTAAAAATGGTGGGTGCAGAGATGAACACTGTTCAGAACAGTGGATCTGTGGTAGTGATGGTGCGCCTGGGAGGGAGACTTAGTGCAAACTGGGACTTGGGAGTTTCGCCTGTGAGTGTTCTGGGCTCTCACTATAGGAGAAACCACATCTATGTAAAATACAGCAGTGATAGCCAGCTGCGGTGAAAAGACACCTGAGGCAAACAAATAACAGGAAGGAAAGGTTGCTTTGGGCTTGTTGTTTCAGAGGTAGCGGTCTGTGGCCTCTTGCTCTGATGCTTTGGAACATCATGAAGAGAACATGGTCGAGGTGTCTACTCAACTTACAGGTGCCAAACAGCAAAGAGAAAAGCAGGGAGGGGTGAGACCCCAATATCCTCTTCAAGGACATACCCCCAATGACCTAACTTCCTGCCACTACACCATGTCTTAGAAAGGCCAGAACCCAAGCTGGAAGAGTTCTGTATGTCCCATATGTGGGCTGGTCAAGGACACCACGGTGCTTGACACACAGTAGGCCCTCTGGAGACACATCTAATGTGAGCGAATGAACCAAAACTGTGACTTCTGCCCAGAACGGCAGGAGAAGATGCAAGGGGAAATAGGCTGGTCCTAACCAGGGACCTTGACTGGAACAGGTGGAATGGAGTCTCTGAGAAGCCTGGGGATGGGGGTGTGCCAGGATGCCGAAGCGGGGTGAGCAGCCTCAGCAACCATGTCTCTTCAAATGACGAAGAGCACTTTCTTTCCCCAGTGTCCTCATCATGTACTTCCATACAGTGGGGACCGTGAGACTCCCTCCTCCTCCTCACTGTGGCCGTGAGCACATTTCCCCAGACCCCTTTCCTCCTGCCACAGAGTCCTCAGAGCCCAGAATGTACAGGTACTCTCGGGGCAGCTCCTTAGCAAGAGACTGTGTGTGGAGATTTGAATTGGAAGTGTCCCTTGCAGGCTCATGTTTTGAACTCCTAAGGTCACTGAGGGCAACCTTTGAAGGCCAAATCCCTCCTTGACGCAGGGGTGTTCTTCCCATCCCCGATGTGTGCCCTCCAAATAGATGATGTCGCTAGCCTCTGCTGTCACAGGCTGGATGGCTCCTACTCTGAGCCTTGCCAGCCACAAGGGCTGAGAGCCCTGGAAACTTGAGCTAAGATAAACCCTCTCAACCCCCAACCAAGCTGTCTCTGTTGTCAGTCAGAATCTCAGAGATGGAAGTAACCAGCACAGACTGCCGAGTTAACCTGTCCCCGTCAGCCTTGCTCACCCACCTCACCCACCTCAGAAGCCCTGAGAGACCATGGAACATGTCAGATGCCTTTGCCATGGATGCTGAGCAGGGATGTAGGCTCCTGGGATGACCTTCCCTGACGCATGTCCACCCAGGACTGTGAATGTGACATTTGAGGCATGAACCCTCAGGCAAAAAGATGAGTGGAGATGGAGGCACAGACTAGAGCTTTGCTGCTTGCTGCCATTGGCTAGGACCCGCAGCCACCAGGATGCAGGGAAGGCCCAGTGGTGGGGAGTGGGGTAGAGTGGGGGTCTTCTGAGTGAGCGTGGCCTGGCACGCTCAGTTTCAGACTCTGATCTCCACAACATTTGAGAATGTGTGTCTGTGGCTTTAGCCACACCCAGTTTTCAGTCACCCGTTATGATGTCCACAGCGGACATATACCTCGAGGTTGCCCTGAGAAGTTCCAAACTGCCCAGGGCTTTTACGACAGCGACATCTATCTGATCTTTCCAGCATTTGAGGGTCTCTAAAGAGCTGTGCATTACCCTAGGAACGGAGGCACGGAAGGGAGCACGGAAGAGAAGAAAAGGGAGGATACGGGAGGGGGAGAGAGCACAGAGGAAGCAAACCCACCGTTTGACAGGCCAGTGTGCCTGCATGTCCAGCATGCTGACAAAGACATCAGGGCAGGTGGGGGCGGGGACGGTTCTCCTCCTGGCCAGAGCTGACACAGACAGGCTGTGACATAGGAAGCAGGCTGCTAATGAACCCTGCTTGTCAACTGGAGGAAAGCCTTTCTCTCCCTCGGGAGGGGAGGAAACTCCAGCCAGGGAGCTGCGCTTGCCTGGGGACCTCGCCTGTCACCGCAAAGGCAGCTGGCCTGTCAAGGGTGGAGCTGACAGCCCGACCCTGGCTGTGGAGGATGGTTGCTTGGGGAACTCATTTGCAGTGGAGGACAGAGACAGAAGGGACAGGTAGGCGGGGAAAGGACCTCGCTCTGGGGACCTTAGGGACAGCACCAGGCAACGGTACAGGTTCGCCTGCTCGACGGTTGAATGACAGTGCGCAAAAGGGGCGCCTGGTGCCCCGCCCCCGTTGTCAAACATTTCAGCGTGCCTGTCCTCAAGACTGACGCTGTCGTGTGACCTGTGATTCCCTGCAGGAGACTATTCTTAGAATAACACATCAAAAAGATGGGAGAAAATTCCCACAAGATGCAAAACAAATTTAAAAGATGTTCTTGGTCCATGTCACGGATGAAGAGACCCAGCGTCTCATAGCATGGGCTAGAGCTACAGACCCAGGCGCCCTTCTCTAAGCCTCAGTTTGGCATGTTAGATAGCCCAGTGCCTCAGTTTCCCCATCTTTGCAACAACATGGGAAGCATGTCACTCAGAACGGGCACACCCAGGCTTTTCTAGATCCCTCTTTTACCTGCCACGTTTGTTGCCTCTGCTCCGAGCTCAGAAATGAATCCACATTTACCACAAGTGGCCACTGAAGCCTCAGTCTCCCACTCTACACACTATTGTTGCTGTGAGCGTTCTGTGCTGAGACTCCAGGAAAGACGCACATTACGTACATTGCTGTTAGTCTCCTTGTTGCCTGAGGCCTCTCTGTCCTCAGCAGAGAACACCGGTCTGAGTCTGGATACTTCCAGCAGCAGAGAAGGCCATTGTCAGCTTTGGATACACCTTAAAAGTTTGCAGCCAATGGCAGTGTTGTCTCTCAGACCATCACCTTGTTTCCCTCTCTTTGGTAACACACCTCAAAAGGCCCATCAGGAGGGCATTCCTAGCCACCGAAGGAAAGTTTCCACTCCATTGCAAATGCTCAGTTGCACAAGAGCCCACCAGGGCCGGGCCTCACCAGCTCCATGCAGTGCCGGCTGGCCTCCTCCTCCCGCTGCACCACCTCCTGCAACTCCACCTTCAGCTCCTCCAGGCGCCGCTGGTAATACTGGCTGTTTTCCCGCTGCTGGGCCTCCGACTTGGCTGCCTGGGACAGCTCCTCACCCATCTTAATCAGGCTGTCCCGAAGGCGGATTACCAGGACCTGAGAGGGACGGAGAACATGGTTGGTCTCACTTGGAGAGAACAGGCGCCCAAAGGAAGGTCTCACCGGGCCTCTGCATGTTTGTGCCAAGCGGCCCAGGTAAGAACGGTAGTTTCTTAGTCTTCCTCAGTGAAGGGCACACTGGCTGGTTAGCCAGTATCATATGGTCAGTCCTGAGAACATACACAAAAGTAATATTACACAGAGCTAGCAGGCTATATTTAGGAATATGTATGTACATACATATACGGTTATAAAAGCAATCAATGAAAACAGAGGCAGAGAATTTGAAAGAGAGGGAGCGATACACAGAACAGTGTGGGGAGAGGAAAGGGAAAGGAGAATGGTGTAATTATATTATCATCTCAAAAATATAAGAAAAATGAAAAAAATGGGATTTCTGCTCCCCCCCCATACTAATTCAGTTTGAAAATGTGAACTATTCCAAGACACTATGAAACAGACACATGGAGAATCTGCCTCTGAGGGGCTCTGGGTTCAAATCCTGCCTCTGCCTCTTTCTGACATACAGCCCAGGGTAGGTGATGAGGTAGGGGCTCTTGTGTCTGTGCCCCAGGGCACTGCGGGGATCTAACAAGCTAAGCTAAGTGGTTATCATAGTCAGAGTCTGAAGCCTGATAATCCTTTGCCCCCTTCCCTCCCAAGGTCTAGGACATGGAGGGATGAGAGAGAGAGAAAGAGAGAGAGAGAGAGAGAAAGAGAGAGAGCAATCCAGTGAAACCGAATTGTTGGCTTCTGGGTTTATGAATGGGGGCCTTGTATGAGATGCCTCCTCTCAGCCCCTGGTGCCCTGCCTGTCCTTTGAACAGAAACCTATCAGGCATGATGGAGGGATGGAGACAAAGGATGCTAGGCACCTTGAATTTGAGAGAAGCCCCAGGGCTATTCGGCTTCATTAGGCAGCCAGCAAGCCCGGAGCTCATCGATCCATGGGATCCCAGCGGGTCAACATCAGAGTGTTGACACAGGCAAGGGCCGTGACTATTTCAAGCCCTGCTGAGTGTTCTGGGAGCCTCGGATGGAGGAGACAGACCCAGGGTCAGACACCATCACCCAAAGGGAAGCTGTCCTGTTAGGGTCCATTTTGGAGACTGTCAGGGGAAATGGGGAGATACAGGAATTGTCACAGTGTCCCCAGAGACCCCAGCCCTTGGCAGTGGGGACACAGGCTCTGCTACATTTAGATAATGGTGAACATGGGGCTCGGGTCTTTTGGGTTCTGTTATCAGGGTTTTCCTTTCCTGTTATCAGTTGTCTATGCTAGAACCAAATAGTCCCATAGAGCCGGCATGACAGGCATGACATAGGCAGCCATGTCAACAGTGTTCTGGATTCCAGTGCCCTAGAGGGCCCCTGCCTGAGTCCCTTGAGCTGCTTGGAAAACCTATGGAAGTTAAGGTCAACAAGGCTTTCTCCTGTTTATCCACAGTAGCTGCATTAGAGACTGCATGTCCCTGGGGTTGGGAGCATTTCAGAGTGAGTGGCATAGCCTTTCACACCCAAATACACTATAATGAAGGAGTGGGGGCTGCAGAGAAATTAGAACCCAGACCCTGAGGGGAGGGGCAGGGGACGTGTCAATCACTTCCTGCCTCTGACACTCAGCTTGCTTCTGGCAGCCATGTTTTCACTCTAAAGGTGAGGCTAGTCCTTACTCCCTACCCCACCCAGCGGTTCCAAATGTCAGGCAGACTGGTGTCAAAGAGGATTTCAACAATGGAGGCGACCTCTGTAAATGTCCTGTGCCCTCGATCCACAGCACTGAAGAAGTGAACACACACTGGAATTACCAGCTCAAGACTGGTGTCAAGGTCCTCACCAAACCCCACCCAAGCTGCCGGGGTTTTTCTGATACCGCAGGCCTCATCCTGGAAGCCAGCTGAGCTGTCCACCCTGGAAGGCCCAACTCTGCATGGTGGGGGTTTGTCTCATATGTCTGTCCTGTACACACCAACATGGAGCTGCAGAGACTGTGTGAAAGAAACTGCCCACAAAGAGTTTGAAGTGTGCGAGGGGATGAGTGGATAGACAGAGGTGGGAAGAATGGGAGCCACAAACCAGTGGAGCCTAGGGATGAAGAGGAGGAGGGAGAGGGAAAGGGAAGGGGGGAAGAGAGGAGTCAGGAGAGAGAGGAGCTAGGAGAGGAGCTGGAAGAGGAGGATGGACCGAAGATGGTGGTTAGAAGATGGTGGTGTGCCCTAGGTACCTCAAATCTTTTCATCTGCACCTTCTGGAACTCTGTCTTGTTCTCCAGGTCACAGATGACAGCCTCCTGCCTGCTGACGATGGCGCGGTCCACCGTGGACTGCTCCAGGTGCTGGATGCGAAGCTGGGCCACCTGCAGCTGGGATTCGTGGACGGGTCTACTGGCACCATTGGCCCCAAGCCCCACTGCGGGCCCCCATTCTCTGCTCAACGCTGCATGGTGGCCATCCACACAGGCCAGCACCGCCAACCCTCACACTAGCCCTGCCCCGGGTGGCACATCTGGGGCTGTTGGTTCGTTCATGGTTTTCTCCCCCTTTTCCTGCTACGATAAAGGGTCAAGCTGGCTAGGGAGAAACTCCTGCATCTGAAGACACAGCAAGGGAGGCTGGGAGCCCACGCTCACGACTTGCTTAAAGTGAGCCTGGACAGGTCATTTCCAGCTTGAGCATCCATTTCTCCATTTTCATCATGAGACCAGCAGCTAGCCAGCACCTACGGTTACTTCCATTCCTGGCTGGCTTGTCAGGACTCTGCGCCCATGTGTGTGATGAGACCTCACCACTCTGATGGGCCCACACATCAGCTCTAGTGAGGCTTTGAGAAGTGTCTGGATAAAAACGGCCCACTAGGCACTAAGGTTTAGAGAGACCAGGGCTCCAACGGAAGAGCTCCAAAGGCCCTGACTCACAGACATCCTCTCTTCTTTGGGAGTGACTTCTCAGAGGGAGAGAGAGGATCAGGGAGAAGCCTGCTCTGAATGGTACACGGGCCACCTGTACGTGGGGCGGGAACAAGCAACTGTGACGTTAGTGTGCCGATCTGTCTTTATGTCCGCTGGGACTCTCTGGAATCACTGGGCACATGGCTGAAGTTGAGTAAACGATTGGGTGATCCTGAGGGCCCAGGGAGAACCTACCCTCCCCCACAGCATGGCGGCTCTGAGCGCATACCTGCTCCCTCAGCTTCTGCTTCTCTTTCTTGGCTTCTTCCAGCTGCAACTGCAGCTCCTGAATTTGCCCGATGTCAGTAGCAGACTGGTGAGGCAGAAAACAAGATGAAGAGACCCAGACCCTTCTGAGAACCGCTTCTTTTCTGACCCAGGTCTCTCTACCAGGACTTCTGTGACAGTGACTGGTTCTTAAACATTGCGCCTTCCCCCTTCCCAATATCCCATCTCAGCTTGCTGACTCTTAACTTCCCAATACCCCATCATCTCTATTTGCTGTCACACCTCCTAGTATCTTATTATCCCTTTTTGCTGAGTTACACTTCCCAATACCCCGTCACCTCTATTTGCTGAGTCACAGTTTCCCGTATTCCCATCTCTGCTTAGTCACTCCATAGCATCAGCTTGAGGACTTAGCCGGTTGTTGAGCCCTTTATGGTACATGCTGGAGAACCCAGAACAAACTGTGCCACCCATGGTGCCAGGGACAGCACTCCAGGGGCGGCATGATGGTGTGAACGTGAAGTGTCTCCCATAGGCTGGGCGGAGGTGGGGTGGGTGGGATCTGCTTGCTACCAGTGGGCGTTTGGAAAGTATCAGTCAGTTCTCTGCCTTCAAGGATGGTTTTCATGTGTGGACCTCAAATTTGGACACACAGTTGGTAGAACTGTGGAAGGTGCAGCTTAGGTGGAGGGCCTGGGTCCCTTGGGGTGTGCCTTGGGCAGGCTCCTTCCTGGGGGAGCTCTGATGCCTCCTCTCAGCCATGAGCCACACACTCCTGCTACACTAATATTTTTTCCAAGCACCTGGGGCCAAGCAACCAGGCACCCAAACACCTGAAATCATGAGCCAGGGAAATCCCTCCCTTTAGCTGTTTCTGTCAGGCCAGGGCTATAACAAATCTAACTTAGGAAGAGAAGCAGTGTGTCAGGGGACTGGGAGCCTATGCCTGGACACCAGCCCCAGCGAGCTAGATACTCACTGCTCCATGATGTCCCCATCTAACAATGGGCTGAGTGTCTGCTTGGCCCCCTGCATTGGCGACTCCCCAGATCGAAGACAGATGGGAATCAAGACCTCTTTAGGACGTGGAGGTAACAACTAAGCTTGGCAGGCTCTGAGGAACGGGAGTTCCTGAGGGTGTGGAGGCCTCTTGGCTCCCGCTCCACCACAAGTGTGGCTTTGCTTACTTGTCACAGTCCATGTGTCTTCTTTGCTTGTAACTGGACAGAGCATTTTCCACATAGGACAAAAATTACCCACAGCTCAGACACAGGCACAGGCTCTTTACTGTGGTGGCTGTAACCCTGGTGATTCCGTTCCTCCCCTGGGTTACATCTCCTTGTCTAACAGACATACCCTGATCCTGGCCCTTGGAGAAAAGAGAACATGCTTCCTGGATCACCCCTGGGCATGAGCATGAGGAAGAGGGTCCATGCTCCTGGACTGAGCTCTTTGCCCCAGCAATACGGCCAGAAACCTGCTGGGAGCCCTGGCCCGCCCCCCATTTCAGCCGAAGCTTTTCTTCTTCCCAGCCACTGTGTCTTATCACACCCCTCGCTCTCCCCTGGCTTTGTCTGACATTGTGGAGTTGAGAGTCCACCCCCATGTCTCAGTTTCAGACTCTGGTAGGACAAGGCAGAGGGCATCTCTGCCATAGTGGAGTTGTCAGGGTGGGATGGCGTGCCAGAGATCTCTGCTCTCGGCTCCCACAGGCTTGGCAGTGCTTCCTACCACCCATCAAACAAAGCCCTCCAGGAGCCTGGTATGTCCTCCTCTCCTGGCTTTCCCTTCCTTCCCTCCTCTATCTCCTCTCAGCCTCTGCAGGGCTCCATGAACCCTGTGCATACCCCACCTTCCCTGACCCGCACCTGTTACCAGATCTTATGGTTCCACTGCAAACTCATTAGCTCCTGATCCTCACTCAGATCTCCTCCCCAGGGAAGTGATCCATAATTTTAACCCCTTCCTGGACTCTCAGTTCAGTTCACTAGTCAGACTCCTCCCCACATGCTGCTCCTGGTAGTTCTGGTAGTTCTGGGACAACATCTGCTCAGCTCACAAAGCCAGGAACACAAAAGAAAATTGAGATGTCCCTTTGCTTACCAAAGCGTCCTCGGCACTGTTCACGGTACCCAATACAGAGCAAGTCCTCAGTGAGCAACAGATAGACAGATAGACTGGATGGCTGGGTATATGCGTGGTGGCTAGACTGATGGACATAGTGAGCAGAGAATGGATGGATGGGTGGGTGGATGGGCACATGTCCCCCGTAAGGCTCACATATTTGTTAGTCATCAGAGAGTGGCCATACTTGAGAAGAATTAGAATCTCTCTGTCTCTTTCTCTCTGTTTGCCTGTCTCTCTTGCAGATTAGGATACAGGATGCAACTTGGAACTCTCAGCTACTGCTCTAGGTCCATGTATTCCAACCATGCTCCCTACCATAATAACGGACTAAGCCTTTGAAACTGCCAGCCAGCCCCCAGTTAAATGTTTTCCTTTAGGGGCTGGAGAGAAGGCTCAGCAGCTAAGAGTACTGTCTGCTCTTCCAGAGGTCTTGGGTTCAATTCCCAGCAACCACATAGTGGCTCACAACAACCTATACTGAGATCTAGTGACCTCTCCTGGCATGTAGGCACACATATAGATAGAGCACTCGTACATAAAACAAATAAGCAAAATCTTTAAAACAGTGTTTTCTGTTATAAGTTGCCATGGTGTCTCTTCACAGCAATGGAATGGTGACTAAGACACAGCCGAACGGATGGATTGATGAGCAGATTACATGGTGGGTGGGGGTGTGGATAGGGAGGTGGCTGTATGGGTGGGATGATGTTTTCCTGGTGAAGCTGCCCTCCAGAGGATGCACCATCTTTCCCCAGGGCCACGTGGAACCAACGGCTCCTACCTACCTCTGGACTGTCAAGTCTACCGAATTTCAGAAGCTTGGGATAGGGTCCTGACCTGGGCAATGAGGTCCTTGTGCTTCTGCATGAGGCCATTCAGGTCATCCTGGTCCTCGTCGATGCGTTTCAGGAGGTCCGCCCTCTCAAACTGCAGCCTGTACAGCTGTTCGTCTACCTGCAGGGAGGCGGAGGGCAGCTCAGCGGGCAGGGTGTGTGCGCCACTCGGAATCCATGCACACACATTTAAAGGTCCACAGCACAGGGATGTTAAGTACCAGCCTACACTGTCCCCAGGAATAGGTTCTGCCTGCACACAGCATACCCTCAGGACTGAGTACCAGGCATGGCATCCAACAGGTGCCCGGTAACCGTCTATCAGGTGGGTAGATGGATTTGATTGAGGGGTTTTTCTTTTGCATGTGCGTTCTATGACTACACACACACACACACACACACACACACACACACACACACACGTAGGCGTATACTGTGGGTGGTGTGCTCGTACACATGTAGGTATTTCCTGCTTAGCCTTTTTATTAGCTGGACACAACCTAGGTTCATTTGAGAAGAGAGTACCTCAGTTGAGAAAATGCCTCATAGATTAGCCTGTGGGCAAGCCTGATGGAGATTTGTGATTAGTGTGAGAGGCCCCCGCCCATAGTGGGTGGTGCTCCATGAGTGGCTCTGGGGTGTGCAAGAAAGCAGAGGGAGCGAGCAGTGAAGAGCAAGCCAGTCAGCAGCACTCCTCCGTGGCCTTTGCCTCAGTTCCTGCCTCCAGATTCCTGCCTGGACTCCCAGAGTCCCAAAGTCCTTGCCCCGACTCCCCTCATTGGTGAAGTGTGATATGTATAAGATAAACTAAACCCTTTAGCTCCCAAGTTGCTTCTGGTCATGGTGTGTATCACCATGTGTACATGTTCCTGGTTGTATCCCCCTTAACCTAGAACAGGAGACAGAACAAAAGGATCCCGCACGAGCTGAGCCAGACCCTCTCCGTCTCTATGCAAACTGTAGACTTGTGTATGTCAAGTCCAGATTTGAGCCAGGCTCCAGACATTGTCACCAACACGAGAGGTCTACGACATGGCTCGTCTCCCCCCTGTCAGTGGTGATCACACAGTCAGGTCTTCTGATTGCAGGGAGTTGACGTGAGCCTGTGAGAGACATACCTTTCCTCTTAGAGAAGATGGCATGCAATGGTCTGACGTCAGATGCAGAGTCCCCATGGCTGTCAGAACACAGTAGGGCTTCGAGAACCCCCTAACAGCTGTGAGCACAACGTGATCAGTGCAGGAGCAAGGTCATGCTACTGGGCACATAGTAGGTCCACAACACATTTTCTCTTTTGCCTTTATGAATGGTATCTCACTGTTGGTGTGTGTGTGTGTGTGTGAAGCACCCAGTAGGCCCATAATAAATGCCCTTTGCTTCTCAGGAAGCTGAGCATTCAGTAGGTTTATAGTAAGTTTCCCTATTCATCTAGTACATCTACCACCTGTACCCTGGGTGACTCAGTGGGCTCTCGAGGGGGTGCCCCATAGAGCCACCCTAAGCATCGTAGTTCCATAAAGGCTGTGTCCGTGGTTCCGGAGCTGTGGGGACAGTACCAGGCTCTTGCTCCGGGTCATGTCCTCCAGCTCACTGTGCATGTTCTCCAGGTCCGCAGTCAACACCTTCTGGGTCTTCAATGCGTCCTCACACTTGGCCTCGCTCTGCTCCAGCTGTCCAAGAACAGGAGCAGAAGAAAGGGAGGATGTCGCTTCTCTAACATCTTCCCTCCTTGCCCCACCAGCCCAGCCCAGCCCTAGCTGGCTACTCCCACACATTCACACTTTCATACTTGACACATTCACACTGCACTTGTGCTTGAGGCAGCCTGGGTCTGAGCCCACTTCAATGCCCAGCACTGTCCCGTGGCAGCTCTGGACCCTGCTGCAGGAGTGGGCTGCTCCTCAGCCCCTTTGGGCAGACACCTGGGGATGCTTTCTCCCAGCTCAGCATAGGCCTGGGACACACAGGGAACCATCAACTGGCCCTGCTTTCCCCGGGGAGACAGGTGGTGACTACCCCTCCGGGCAACACAGGAATGAGGCAAAGGGACAGTGGGATGGAAAGGACAATCACCATGGGTGGTGGGTGACTCAAAGGACAGCGGGACCTGCCACCCCCAACCAGGGCTTGCGTTAAGCTGGTCTGCAAACCTTTAATAGGAAAGATGCTCTGTAGGGAGGGGTCTTCCTACGGTCAGCTTTGACCAGGTCTCAAAGGCTGAGTCACCTAAGCTGCTTTCTCACCCTCTGCCCTCTGTCTGTTGGTAACCTACAATTACCTAAGCACATGCCCTGCCGCCAAGAGCAACCAGTCCCATTGAGAACCCGTATCAGTACACAAAACCCTATGTCCAGTGTGCAAATAGCCGTTTCCCTTGAGCCCTTTGCCTATGAGCGGATTTCTCAGTCTTTGAGCTTTGGTCTTTCTCAACCACAAAACATGGGGTTGGGGTGGTTCTGTCCACTAGCAGATCTGTGGGACACAACTGATGGGCTAGGGGCGGTGTGCACACGATGAGGAAGAACGCTTACTCCGATCCCGTCCTGCTCATCTCACCGCTGTAGCAGCCATTCCCATCCTACCTGGTTGAAAGCGGAGAGCACAGCCACACACACAGTAAGTGGCAGGACCTGAACTCAAGCCCAGGCAGCCACCCCGTCTCCACCCACCTCTACAGACCTGGAGAGACATCTGTCCATCTCCGAAACGTCCCTGTGTCTGTGTCAACCTGACCTTATTCCCAGCTGGGAGACCAGCCTGCGCCCCCCCCCCCCCTAACAGGAGCCAAACACTGAGGATGCTGAGGCCTTCTTCCTTCTGGTAGCACAAGCAAGTGAAGTCAGGGCCCCCACAGGCCAGGCTAGCCCAGCCCAAGAGACGCAATGGGGTGGTTCCCCTGGAGAGTCCAGATGCAGCCAAGCCTGGAGACACCCGAGGCTCGACTTTTCCACATGGTTCACCCAACAACTTCTCTCCTGCTCGAGCTGAGCTCAGAACCCCCGGCAAGCACACAGATCAAAGATGCATGCACAGCACGGACTGGGAGAAAGGTGCAAAACTGCTGTGTGATTTTGTGTGTCTGTGTGTGAGAGTGTGTGCTTGTGTGTGTAAGAGAGTGTGAGTGTGCATGTGTGAGAGCATGTGTGTATGAGTGTGTATGTGTGTATGAGTATGTATGGGCAGTATAGGTATGAGTGTATGCGCATGTGTGTGAGCATATGTGTGCGCATGTGTGTGTGACAGTGCTGCTTGTGTGCGCATGTGTGTGTGCATGTGCGTGTGACCTCGTGTGCGTGCGTGCACAAATGTACTTGCTGCTCCTGTGTACAGGTTTCCAGGCTCGCTGCACAGGAGGGGAAACATTCCTCTTCCCATGGGGCTGGGGGACTGGAACGTCCACACCCTCTGTGGTCCTTTGCAGCTGCTGGCTACCACTAGTGACTACGGCCCATGCAACGCTGTGTGTGTGTGTGTGTGTGTGTGTGTGGAAGAGAGAGAGAGAGAGAGAGGGAGGGATCAGTCTCTTCTTCAGATTACAGGGGGAGGGGGGTGACCGTGGGTTGCCATGGTCAGATTTAAGTGCTGAAGGCTCCAGACACAAGTCCTCTTGGATCCACACCCATCTGCACAAAACTCTTGCTTACAGACCTCTTCCCACAGTGTCAGCCCTGAGGAGACTGCTGTCTCCCGGCCCCTACCCCTTGTCTCCCCACTCTCAATGCCTCCCTACCCCACTGTCCCTCCCCATCCTCAATGCCTACCCATCACCCCACTGTCTCCCCCCACCCCACTGTCTCCCCCATCCCCACTGTCTCCCCCATCCCCACTGTCTCCCCCACCCCCACTGTCTCCCCCACCCCCACTGTCTCCCCCCACTCCCACTGTCTCTCCCCACCCCCACTGTCTCCCCCACCCCCACTGTCTCCCCACCATTCCCACTGTCTCCCCCACCCCCACTGTCTCCCCCCATCCACACTGTCTCCCCCACCCCCACTGTCTCTCCCCACCCCCACTGTTTCCCCCACCCCTGCTCTCCCCCCACCCCCACTGTGTCTCCACCAGCCACCAGCATTCAGGGAGGGTGATTGAGACCCCTATCACAAGAACATCACCTGTAAGCCCAGGAATGGTTTGGCTGTCTTATGAGAAGCCAGCTGCCTGCTTTAAATACTTGGGAAAATGCTTTCTTTGGACTTAGAGGTCTTCTAGGCGAGTCAGTTAGACATACGGAGGGAGGTGGAACGGGAGCGCTGTTATTTCTGCAGAGCTTAGATCCTAGATTTCTGGGTTTGGTTGAACAACTTGAGGGATTTAAAAATACAGAATGGAAAATGCCACAGGGGGGGCCTTTTGCCGGAATTTACAGGGCTAGACCGGACTCGTTTCAGGCTGGGCATGGCACCTTCAGAGTGGGGGGGTTTCTCCAGAGAGGGTCACCCACAATCCACGCTGCAGACAGCCCCAACCATGCGCAGCAAAAGCCAGCACTGCAAATGTATTTGAAATATCCCATGAGGGCTGGGGAGATGGCTCAGTGGTTAGAAGCACCTGCTGCTCTCCCAGAGGATTCCAGTTTGTTTCCCCGGCACAGTTGTTAGGTGGCTCAAAACTGCTTATAACTTCACCTCCAGGGGCTCCAATGCCCCCTTCTGGACTGTATGGGCACCTACACTCACTTCACATACCCCTACACAGACACATGTATGGAGACGTAATTAAAAATAAAATTTTAAAAACACCAACAGACTCTAATCATGTCTATAAAATACAACTGCAGACAGTAGACCCAAGGTACAAGCTCTATGGCTTCGTGGCGACAACCTCTGTTATTCCGGCCTTTACCAAGTGTTCCAGATCGTCCTGTTCCACACGGGGACTGCATTCACTGGTGTGTCTAGAGCAGTGTTTTCAGTCCTGGGAACTGCGCCCAGGGCCTTGTCCGCCTCAGCAAGCACTCACCTACTCAGCTACGTCCCCAGACCTCGTTTCCTCTTGTTTTGTTTTAAGACGGGGTTTCACTAAGTTGGCCAAGCTGGCCTTGAACTAACTGTAGCATAAAGAAAGTGCTGCCAAGGACAACAGTGGGGGAAGCCCTAAAGGTTCAGCTCCTGGGTGCCATGGGGAAGTTGTCCACCTCTGTGTCAGGAACAGACAGGAAAATACTCACCCCTGGGACAGTGCCCAGGTTTAAGATGCATACAGGTATTTATGCACACAGTCGCCACCCAGAGGCCGCAGTGAGACAAATAATAATAATGAGAATAATAATAATGGTAAAAAAAAAAAAAAAGCCTTTAGATTCCAATTTGTCTTGGTTCAGAAAACAGCAACTTGTGTGTGTGTGTGTGTGTGTGTGTGTGTGTGTGTGTGTGTGTGTGTATGTGTTTGTGTGCAGTGGGGTGTGAGACTATATCCATTTCACTATATATAGGTTGGCCTTGAACTTGTGTAGATCCTCCTGTCTCGACCTCCCTAAGGCATGAACTGCCATGGCCTACTGGCACTTGTGTCAATATTGAAAGTTAGATTTTGAGGGGGATAAAGAATGCAATGTCCCTTCGAGTGCTCACAGACGCCACAGGTGTGCAAAGATAATGATGAGACGGTTTTCGAAAAATGTCCCAGGTTGTGAGTCTAGGAGCAGGAGAGCTCAGTGACTGGGAGTGTGCACGTCATGTATCAAGTCCTGGTTTTCACCCCGACACCACAAACAAACAGGCAGAAATCGCCACCTGTGGATGATGCGTGTGCTGGAGCCCGGGTGCTGTTCTCAGCTTCCTAGTGAATTTTAAGTTCCTATGCGGTGTCTGCCTAGAGGGCAGGACCTAGGCCAACCCCGGTGCCGAGCAAGCTGATATGGTGGCTCAAACCTGGAGGGCCGGCACTCTGAGGTATCGGAGAGCAGGTCACGAATCAAGGTCCTTCTTGACAATACAGCACACTCGAAGCCAGCCTGGGCTACATGAAACTCCGTCTCAAAGAAACAATTATTTCCAAGTGGGAAAAATGATGTGTGTGTGTCTATGTGTGTGTGTGTCTATGTGTGTGTGTGTGTGTGCGCGCGCACACGCACGCGCGCGCGCATGTATGTGTGTGCTGTGTGTGTTGTGTGTTGTGCATGGTGCACACGTGTGAGCGTGAAGGTGCATACGGAGGTCAAAGCAGGACCTAGGGTGTCCTTCCCTCTCGCTCTTCACTCTTTTGCCTCCACACAGGTGTCTCCCTGAGCTGGAAGCTAACGGCTTCAGTTCGGCCAGCCGAGGATGGGCCTTGTCTCCATCCCCAATGCTGGAGGTAGCCACAGCCACGCCCTGCGTCTTACATGGCTCTGAGGACATAGACTCGGGCCTCACCCACTGAGCCACACTCCCCCATCTCCAACTCATCAGCTGTTGTCTTGCGTTACCCCCTCCCCGCAGGCTAAACTTCCTCCTCAGATGTGTCACACGGCTCCAGCCTTCTGCGGAGGTGGCTGGGCAGCCCGTGTGTAGACACATTTCCCCAGCACCTGCCCTGGCTCCCCAGAACCTCTGGGTTCATGTTATTCTGGGGTACAGGATCTGTACATGGCACAGATCTGCAGGGAGCCGGGTGGAGTACAAAGGATTGACTCTCCTATCAGTGTCACCTTGGGTGCTCAGGGCTGTGCCACTCGCCTGGCCCTCCCCAGCAAAGCAGATGCTGTCCTTTAGACAGAGAACTAGATTCCCTGCCCGTAATGTAGAAGCAGGGCCGTCTTCACGCTTCGTTCATCACCGCCTTGGAAGTGTCAATATTTGTGGGAGAACAAACCTGTGACCACCATGTTTCCAACCAATTACAACACGCTCTTTATCTCCCCTGACAGGAGGTTAGGTTAATATTGAATCAATTCCCTCCAACATTGTCCTTAGAGAAAAAACAAACGCTCTTCAAATAAAACACCCAGTGAGGCCACTGCTCTGGGTCCGAGGGCTGGGGAGACATGTCCTCAAGGTGCCTGGGCACACAAAGGCTCCCATCAGGGCATCTTCCCAGGGCTTGTTAATTACCTCTGCTGTCTCAGGGAAGCATAGGTGACATATGGTGACAAATGCCCCAATTAAGAGCACTGGGGATAGATCCGGGGTCATCAGTCTTCTCTGAAGGGAGCCCCAAGCTGGTAGTTAATCACAGCTGGGAATTCATGGGGAAGATGGGCAAGGCCTAATGGCCCAGGCGCAGCCCCTGGGGGGAAGAGCCCACCAGAGCACCAGAGGTTCTGGAAGGACCTTGGGACGTGGCGGGGCCAATGTCTGGACATCTGGGGTGCTGTCATCCAGTTCTGCATCTCATAACGTCTGCCACTCTGGATAAGGAGGACAATTCGGTGGGTGGTGGTACAGGGATGCTAGCAGGACATGGTGACCTTTCACCCCACCTGAGGGAGGCATAGATGGTGATGCCACGGGGGTGGGGGGAGTTCCTGAAGTTGAGTTCAGAGGACAGATAGCCATCAGGCAAAGAGGGATATGAAGGTAGACCCTAGAGCCCTGCAGGGGCATTGTGTATGCAGAGTTGACAAGGTGGGAGGAGGCAGCAGTGGTAAGACTGGGCCACAGCTGGTGGTAAGACTGGAAGAAAGGCTCTGGACTGGGTACCCCACATGTTGGACTAAGGAACCTGCACTTGGTACAAAGGATGTTGGGAACTACTTGTAGCTCTTGCCTGTAAGCAACCAAGTCTACACTGAGGTCTTCAAAATCTTCCTCCAAGGAGGAGGCGGCAAGCTGGGGGGTGGGGCTGGAGGCAGAGCACCTGGCTGGCATGTGCAAAGCCCTGGGTTCCATCCCCAGGGTGAGGAGGCCCCCTGTCAGGTGAAAAACTCTGCAGACAAGATACAAAGCCAGCAGAGAGAATTCTTGGCAGGAGACCTACAGGTGACAGGCAGAGCACACGAAACTGATTTGGGGGCTGTCCTGGAGCAGCGCCAGGGACTGATGGCAGCAGCTTTGCTCTTAGCAGGCAGGAGCAAGCAGTGCCCTGAGCATGAGCTCTGTGCAAAAGCCCACTCCCCAGTTCACGGAAGCCAGTCACAGGCTTCCCCTGGGAAGGGAGGTCACAAGCAGGGATCTGAGTGAGTAAACACATAACTAACTAGGGCCCTGGAGCTGCCTGTGGCTTCCACTCTCTCCTCCGAGCAGGCTCCAGCTCTTGCCAGCGTCTGGTTTCACGGATGTTACTAGAGCCATCATCTCAGTTATCCATCTTGGCTGTTGGAATGTTGTTTCCAGGTTAGTTTTCAGTGAAAACACCCCATGCGAATTAATTAGCGCTTCATAAAAAAAAAAGTTGCACCCAGAAGCCAAAGATGCCCCCTTCCCTCCACCATGCAGCTAACCCAGGTGAGCGGAGAGGAGAGCTGTCGGACAGGGTTCTTTCTCTCCTGCTGTTCCAGAGGAGCTTTATTTAGGGGGTAGGTTCTTATGTTACAAGGTCTCATGTAGCCCAGGATGGCCTCAAACTTGCTAAGTAGCTAAGGATGACCTTGAACTTCTGGTCCTCCTGCCTTCATGTCCATAGATCTAAAAAGTTAAGGCAGTGCTGGGATGGAAGCTTCCCTCTCTGGAGATATATATATATATATATATATATATATATATATATATATATATATATATATATATATATATATATATCTGCCAGCTCCATCCCCAGCCCTGATCCTGTAGCTCTTAACAAGGCGAAGTCTTGTGATCTGGTGTTCTTTGGGGTTATGAGGCCTGCTTGAGATAAGGCATAGCCATCTCTGAGAGGTAGGGGTCACCCAGGCAGGATTTGAACTCCTTGCCTATCTCAGGAGTGAGATATGCCTGAGGGATGCTCTAGAGGAGCATGAGCCTCTGGTGTTGACTGACATACAAGCCAGTGGAGATGATGAAGCTGGGAGGAGCCACATTGATGCACTGACTGGCTCTAGGGTATCTGCCACACAGGGAGGTGTGTCTAAGGGAACCTCATCGTGGCTCTGTGTGTATGAGAGGGCTCCAGCTCTGGCAGGGGCAGGAATCGTGCTGTTAAAAGCAGCAACAACAGAAAGCAGACCATTTCTAGCCCAGACTTAACAAGAGAGAACAAAGGGAGAAAGGACTAGAAGCACGCTGTTCCAGAACGATGCTCAGCAAGCCGAGGTACAGCCGTGTTCAAGGCTCTGAGGTCAAGCCTGGCCAATACCAGGCACTTGATGCATGTTAACAGGATCACATCAGGTGAGCAGAGGTTCAAGAGCTCAGGATGGCTGGCACCCACAGCTCCAGGCGGGCCTTGTTATGTGCCCTGGGTAAAGCGTCCGGTCAGCCTCCTAGTTCCTGGATTCCCATGAGTACAATGGGCTAAATAGAGAAATATCAACCTGCTCAGGCCGCAGCAAGGGTCGCCTGAAACAACACACTGTGGTCAGCCAGACCTCTCCTGCACGTCTCATCAATTCAGAGCAGAAGTCAGGTTCTCTTTGAAGTTGCCAGCGGCTTCTGTCTCACCTACTTGGGATGAAACCCAAACCTTCCCTGCTCTCTTCCCTTTCTCCAGGGATAAGAAGATGACTTCAGGTAGAGGAGACCTCTGCATTTCTCTACCCAGGACCTTGCTCTTTCTCCCTCTCGCAAAGTTAGGCCATTGCACGTAGTCTGTTTGGCTTTTCTATCAGATGTGAATTTCACAGAGCTGGTACCACACCTGTCTTACTGACAGGTCTCACCCATCATGTGGTATACAGCAGGTGCTGTATAAATACCCGATGTGCAAACACACGACAAATGGAGGATATCCTTCGGGATCATACACAGCAGCTACGTGTAAAGTTGGCTTGCTCTCTTCCTCCCACGCTTCCTTTCCTGCCCTGCCTGCCTCTGTCCCCATGGCCTTCAGGCACAGGACAAATGCCAGACAGCAGCAGGAGCTGCAGTGGGAGCGGGAGTCATCAATGCTTTATCTAATTAGCTGCAATTCTTGCATCTGGACACGTGTGCCAGGAGCCAAAGCGACTGCACCCTGACCTCCGGTCCAGGAGCTCCAATCCTTCCAGTGATTTCCATGACAACAGCGGCAGAGAGCCAAGGCTGTGGATCCCTTTGATGGGAGCCAGATCCAAAGAGCAGGGAAGAGGACTGTCAGAAGAATGAGGCTCTTTGATTCTGCTCAAGCTGGCCCTCATTAAACACCACTATTTCCCGGAACACACATCTTAACCCTGCAGATGGACAAAGGAATTCTCTTAAAAGGGAGGGAGGGCTGGGCAAATATGAGGTGCTCATTCCCCAGCTGAGCCAAGGCATCCAGGCCTCCCTTCTCTTCTCCTCCAACAAGCAGGCAGACGCAGTGTGGCACAGAGAGACCCGGGCTCTGCACTCAGAGACAAGAGCTTCAGGTTCCAAGCACTGCCACTTACTGTGTTACTTAATGACAGGCGTCAACACCTCTGGGCAAATGTGCCCACCTACAGAATGGGCACGGGTGAGCCTCTGCTTCCCTGAAGCTCCCATGATGACTAACTGAGTCTGGCTCCAATAATATCATAAAGGAGACATGAAGAAAGCAAGTGCCCCGCCTTGCTCAGGGCATAGGACTTTAATATTGGTACCAGAATAAGAATGACCCATTGAGGGAAGATAGAAGATCACAGAGTGTGGGATGGGTGGCTCAGTGTCTCCTGGTTGGTGATACTTAATTTGTTTGGTCTGCCTTCCCTAAACCCTCCTTCCCTTCCTTTTTTTCCCTTTCTGTCCCTCTTCTTCTCCCTCCCCCTTTCCTTCCTCCCTCTCTCCTCCCCTCTCTCTGTCTCTCTCTCTCCCTCTCTTCCTCCTTCTTTCTGTTCCTCCCTCCCTCCTTCCCTCTCTCCCTCCTTCCCTCCCTCCCTCCTTTCTGACTGGCCTTGTGGAGAACTTCTCTACTCTACTATGCCCTCTCTCCCATGATGCTCTGCTTCAGCACAAGCCCACAAGAATGGGGCCAAGTGATCATGGACTGAACCATTGGAATCCATGGGTAAGCCTCTGTTCATTGGCTAACATGAGGTGCTGAGCTGTCCAGAGGTGCCAGGTGACACCATGCACAGGGGATTCAGTTCACGAAGGAGATGGGGAGGGGATTCCAGCCAGTGGCAGCTGGTAGTCTAGATGAATCCTTGAGCAGCATCATTAGCATCCGAGTAGACAGTCAAATGGCCACAGCTGTTCTCCTTGGTTCTCAGAGGAGCTGATTTGCAATATCAGCCCTGAAGCTTCAGCTTCTATACCCAGCCCTGATAGCCATCAAAAGCATCCATACACTCATGCACACCAGCCTCAGCCCTAACCTGCTCATGCCCTCCAAACAGATACAACTGGCTCCACCCAACAGAAGGGGGTGGAGCCAAGTGACTTCCTGGCCCACATGTCCACCTCCCTGAAGGTCCAGGGAAACCTCAAGCTGTGTTTCCCAGAGTTCCTCTCCCTATGAGGGCACAGCACTCACCTGGCTGTGCACCTTCTCCAGCTCTTCCTTGCTGACTGACGTCTTGCTATCTTCCATCGTAGCCAGAAGGAGCTGGACATCAGACAACAAAGCATGTGTCCTCCTGAGGTCTCTGCGGAGACGCTTTTCTACATCAAAGTCACGGTGGCCAATCTGGAAGCCAAGATAGGATTAGTTTAGATGGCAAGGCAGTGGCTAGAACCAAAGTTTTTAGGAACTGAGTTCCATGGCTCAGTCTGGCTTCTCCTATGGCACAGTGGCTCACACCTTTAAACCTAACACTTGCAAGGCTGAGACAGGAGGACTGCTGTGAACTGGAGGCTAGCCTGGGCTACAGTGTGAGACCACACACACACACAGAGCCAATAGAAAGATGCAGTTTTCCATGAGTCTCATCGGCAAAATGGACGGTACCAAATATTGGAACTAGGATGCTACGAAACTAGATGCTTTTTCAGCCTCATAAGTGCTAGGCCTCAGGGCTACCATGGGCCACGTACAAGGCTCCACCAACATCGCCATAACCTGGAAGGCCTACCTCCTTCTGCTCTTTCTTATGCATCAAGCTAAGAGCTTCTATGCCAGGTGAGACCCTGGTTGCTGGCCAGGCTCTTTACTCAGGGCAACCCAGGTAGACAGTGACTGGAGTAGGTATGAGGAGCCTCCTGGAAGACTCTGATGTTCTCAATTTGCTGGTGCTTGGGGTGGGAGTGGGAGTGGGGGCTATAAAGGTCAGCTGATACACACAGGGACCCTTGGTGCCTCATCCCCTGTTACGCTGCAGGATGCTGTGTGGTCCACCATGACTCTGGGCAAACAGTGGCTGTGTTCCTTCCAAAGCCCTAAATGAAGCTTTTGATAGATGAAGTAGGTTGCTGGTTTAAAGGTAGGCTCGGGAGCCACTTTCTATGGATGAAACTTTACCTAGAAGTGCACAAGTTCCTTCCCCCAGAACTATAAATTTGTCAGGGAACAGTGGATAGGAAAGTCACAAAGAGGTCACACCCTGTCTTAGATGCATCGACTCCCAGAGGCCAATGAGATGGGTTCAGCCAACACTGGGGATGAACAGGATCACACCGGGACCCCACACAAGCATGGTTAGTGTCCCTTAAAGACACCAGTAGCTCCTTTGTTCCAGGAAGGTCCCGGGAGCCACTGGATAGATGGGATAGTGAAGAGAATAAGGCTGGTGTCTCTTCATAGGGTGATGGTGCTCAGCCTGGGGGTGGGAATCCCTTTGGGATCAAATGACCCTTTCCCAGGGGTCACCTAAGACCATCAAAAAACACAGATATTTACAGCACGGTTCATAACAGTAGCAAAATTACAGTTATGAAGTAGCAATAAGAAATATTTTTATGGTTTGGGGGTCACCACAAATTAAATTAAAGTGAATTAAAGAGTCACAGCCTTAGGAAGGTTGAGAATCACTGTCATAGGGGATTCTTTTGCATATTTGGGGATCTCTGCCCACCTGTCAGATGTCTCTCCTGGGACGCTAAGGGTGTCCAAGGGTATTTTAGAAGGAACACAGATTAAGAATGGTGTGGCTCAGGCTTAAACCTCAGCACACCATTTGCCGGCAGCAGGAAGCCCCGGTGACGCCTGCCACCCATCTGAACTGGAGCTTCCTGTCTCTAAGAAGAGGGTTATAAGAAATTCCCGTTCTCTGTGTTGAGATAAGAGGGGAATCACGCTCCGCGTGTCAAGTGCTTTACAAACACAGAGGATTACTGCACCTGCCTGATGACCCAGCATGCGAACCCACAGATTTCATGTCACAATTCCTCACGGTCAGCTTGGAATCCTTTGAAAGACGAGTTGGCTCTCAGAACACAGCCTCGCCTCCCTCGGAAGGATTACTGTGGTAAATTTAAATCGCTGGGCTATGGTATAAATGCACAGGTGGAGGGACTGAGCCCAGCTGAACCGAGCTGCAGGCCGGGCGCCCTGCCACTCTCCGTCACACGCAGTCACACTTAACTGCTGTGATAATCCCTTAAAATAGACTGTTGTTATTGCTACTGCCTTTCTGGACACCAAACTGGCTTTCATTTATGGAGAGCGCCCTGAGCACCAGCAATGCCTCCAAAGACTGTGAGGGGTGGATTACATTAAACCCCATGGTCTTCACTGCACAGGTGAAGAGGCTGGGGTCGACAGGGGTGATTTGCCCAGGAATACACGAAGCTGGGGTACGGATCCAGCTGTTGAAGAAAGAGACAGCTTCAGCAAGTTTTATCTTAAGGGAGGTGCGTTTGCTACTGCTGCCGTCATCATCATCATCATCAGCTTTCACTGAATGGCCGTTTTGCCTGCACCTATGTCTGTGTACCTTGCATGTGCCTGCTGCCTATGGTGGCCTGAAGAGGCTTCAAATCCTCAGGAACTGGACTTACAGATGGTTGTAGGTTAGAATATGGGTGCTAGGAACCGAGTCGGGGTCCTCTGCAAGGACAGCCAGTGCTCTTAACCACGGAGCTAGCGCTCCGGCCCTGTTCTTAAATTTTCACAAGAAGTTGCACAGAGACAAAAAGGAGATGGGCACTGGAAGGTGGAGTTAGCTGCTTCTAGGAAGGGGCACAGGGAGAGTACCCCAGACAAAAGGCGGTTCAGGAGCCAAGAAAGAGAACAGGCAGTCTAGCACATATACTGCTGTGTGCTTGGCACAATGGGATAAAAGCCAGAACACAGGGACACAGAGGCGCCCAGCAGGTGTGATCTTCCTGGGCCACAAGTGCTACCAAGTGTATATGCAGAATCCAAGGATGGTGGCTCAGCATGTGGGTCTCTAACCACTGCTCCACACTGCCTGATGGGGCTATTTCCAGAAGCCCAGATTCTCCTGTTCCACTGTGCTGCAATGCTGAAGACTAAACTTACAGCTTCATTCTTGCTAGACAAGTACTTTCCTAGCAAGCTGTATCACCAGTGCTTTAATTTTTAAAAGATGTATACAGTCCTGAAACATACAACAGGATGAGACACACTGAGCGTGAGTTAAAATTTTTCAACACAAGCCAAGAATGGAACAAACGCTAAACCAATGGGAAAGGGATGGGAAAATAAGCAAAGTTAAGAGACGGTATTTATAAATACACTAGGAAAAAAGAGGGGGGGGAGAGGGAGAAAAAGGGAGAGAAAGGAGGGAAGAGAGGGAGACAGAGAGAGGGAGAAAGAGTGAGAGCAAGAGTACAAGCTGGTCTTTGACGGTGGTAAGAGACGACTTTCTCAAGGTGCTGGTAGCAACAGGAGAATCTTAACGCTGCCATGATTGTGAAGGCACATCATGCGACATGACACAGCTGCAGAGGTCACGAGAAAATGCTGCAGAAAAAGCTGCAGATCAGCAAATATGCAGACTCTGCCGCAAGGCCAGAGATGTAGTAAGATTTTTTTTTCCCCAAAAAAGTCATTCAACAAGAGGAGGGAAAGCCAGACCTCACACTTGATAAGAAGAACAGAGCCTAGGCAGAGCAGAACACCCATCCTACACCCCGAAGAGTTAAAAGGCAAATGATCTCAAAATGTTAAGAATTATACATGTGAACTTTAGAAAACACTATCTTGAAAGGAGAGGCACTCCGATTTTTACAGGGCTAGTTCGACCTTGAACAAACAAGGAGAGAAAATTAGAAACCAACATTATGATTTTAGTTTTTTGAAAACATCCTCCTGTCACCATCCCGAAGGACAAATGCTGAGCACATGGTGACAAGCGTTGGCTGAGAGTGTACACTGCTCTTCCAGAGTCTGGGACTTCAGTTCCTGGCTCCCACGGGGCCGCTCACAACCACTTGTAATTCAGCTTTGGGGTATCTGATGTTCTCTTCTGGCTTCCTGGGGCATTACATTCATGTTACACATTGCAAAACACACACACACACACACACACACACACACACACACACACACACATGCGCACAAGTAAAAATAAAAATAAATCATTATAAATCAGATGGCTAGGTAAATCGTAGGAGAAAGATCAAGAGGCACCACGTTCCGACACAGATGAAGCGAACCACGGGGAATCGCTCCACTGAGCAGCAGCACAAGGTAAGGTTCAAAGGTTGTTTCAATACTAGAAAACTCCCAGTGTGTGAAGATGCATTTAAACACACACACACACACACACACACACACACACACACACACACATACACACACTAGAATTAGTCATATGGCCAAAGCTTAGTGTAGTCACACTGAGCCAGGGGTAAGAAAAGTGCATTTTATTTCTTAATATGTAAGAAATAAAGCAGCTGGGGTTAGTGGGTGTGTTGGAAGGGAACTAACTGTGCATTCCTTTATGAAATGGTTTTGATTTTTCCTTTGCCCCCAAGAGGCAAAAGTGTTCTCACTTCCAAATGATGACATCATCAATGTAGAAAAGCCTAAAATAATTGACAGATGAGATATTAGGAAGCAATGAGTTCAGCAATTTTCCTGGATGATGAAGCTAATGTCACGGCTTCTCCTGGGCTCCGTAGGATGATCAAATAAAAATCAAAATACGAAATAAGTGCCGCTCATAAAGCTGTGGAAACAAAGAGTTTCCTAGAAATAAATCTAATTAAAACGCTTATGACATGTATTGTTAAAAAAATATATATGCCCTGTAACTAAAGAGAGACAGGGCAGGGGCAGAGGCCAGTAGCAGAGCATCTTAATGTAAACCTGCCAGTCCAATCTCAATGAAATTAGATGAAGTGGCGGGTCAGCCATTTCACCGAATCAAGTCTCCTCACGGAATCCTTTCCTTCTTTAAAAGGATGGATTTATTTATCGTTATTTTATGTGTGTGAGTGTTTTGCCTACGTGCACATCTGTGTATCATGTGCCTGGCTGTGTGCCCACAAAAGCCAGAAAGGGGCTCTGGACACCCTGGAAGTAGAATTACAGACAGTTGTGAGCCACCGGGAGCTGGGTGGCTCTGCAAAAGCAGCAGGTGCTCTCCAGCCCCTGACGTCCTTTCCTACTGGGTTTTCTGTGGATGGGACACGGGGTCCCATCTGTATCATGTATCTGTATCATGTATCACATACACCCCAACTTGCATTAAAGACTCAAGAAGACAAGATTATTTTCAAAGATAAGCAAGGTCAGATGCCCCATGTTCTAGTTTCCCTTCTGCTGCTGTGGCCAGCAGAACATGATGAGACCCAGCTTCGCAGAGAAAAGGGTATACATGGCTCATACTTCGGGGTTACAGCTCCCCATTAAGGGAAGTCAGAGAAGGAACTCAGATAGCTTGAAGCAGGAAGCATGGAGGAACGCTGCTCGCTGACTCACTTGGGCTCATGTTTTGCTAACTTCCTTATATAGCCCAAGACCACCTGTCCAGGGAATGGCGCCGCCCATAGTGGGCTGATCCCTCCCATACCAGTTGACTGTCCTGATGTTCCCCACATGCATGCCTGCAGGCCAACCTGAGACTGGTAACCCCTCAGTTGTGACTCCTTCCTAAGGCGACATGTACCTGTGTTAAACGGACAGTAAAAGCTATCTAGGACACTGCGATTTTTTGAAAACTAGCCAGTAGGACCAGATTGTGTAGGGACAGAGAAGAGCATGAAGTAAGTAGAATGGGGATCTGCACACACCCACAGCATGAGGGATGGTGAAAAAAAAATGAGGGTTAGCCACAGCAGGAAAACATAGGTATCTAATTTGTACCACACACCTACAGAAGATGGATTAAAAGCTAATCATATACATAAAAAGAAGTTTAGAGCTTTTAAGACATATGGTAAAATATGAACTGAAATTAAGGAAAGCGACTTTAAAGTAGAAGAGTGTGAGCCATAAATGTGGTTAATTTGGCCGCATTAAAGACACTTTATTAACTGAAGGGCGTCATAAACAAAGGCGGAGAGTGGCCACAGGGCAGAGCTATTGAAGTGTATATTATCAGAAACTGATTAGCATTTATGGGCAGATCATGAACGATTCCCAGAAAATACAGGCGCCAACCAACCATCATGATCAGATGAGTCATGGAGGGGAAGCCTTCCCAGGGACAAGGGGCCCACAGCGTCAGCTCTGTGGGTACAGTACGTGCCCTGGCAGCTTATGCCAGGCAGCACCATGCCCTGCCAGTGTAAGACTGCTCTCACCACGGAAGCATCATGTTTACAACAACACAGAGACATGCTGAAGACCCCAAGACACATACAGGGTCAGGCCTGAGGGTTTCCGCTGGCCCACATGCTTAGAGCCATTATCAAGCTTACCCAAAGATAGACAGGCACAGAGACAGACAGGCAGGCAGATAGACAGATAGGCAGGCAGACAGACAGACTGACTGACAGACCAACAGACAGACAGCAGAGGTGGAAGACACTTCTGCCTGACTCCCAGCCTGGCTACATTCCTGGGAAAATCTTGTCCCTACAAACAAGCTCAGCTGTGGCCATCCATGGTAGCCATCCATACCCAACCCTGTTAGTACAAGCATTGTCCAAAGTTCCCTGCCAGCAGCCACCAGGGGCCACATGGCTTCACTTGCCCATGCCGACTGAGGCCACTCTGTTACTCCCTTGTGTTCTTCTCTGCACCTGCTGGTCACCAGCTCCTGAGCCAGTGAGCACAGGTGGGAAGGATGGGTGGAGACGAATGTGCTCTGGGGACATGGAAAGGGGCCAGCTTACAGGCCTGCCCTCAGCCCTTCCTGGAGACCTGTAGCTGGCTTTCTCATGCACCCCTCCATCTCACAGAGCTAAGAGGTGGGCTTTGAGTCCCCTCAAAGGCTCCCACTGTGTGTGCCTTACCTGGTCACACAGCGTTCCAATCAAGCCTTCCAAGTCACGCTTCTCGTGCAGGGCCACCTGTTTCTCCTCATACTCCTGCTCCAACTGCATCTCCAGCTGACGGAGCTGTGGGCACACCAGACAGAGGTGAGTGCCCTTGAGTGAGAGTTGGGCAGACAGAGCCCTGGCCAGGGCCCTGAGAGGAGGGGACAGGGAGACCATCCCCGATTGCTGTCTCATGGGAGGGGTATGTCTGTGAAAAGGCCTGGAAACCTAAAAGCTTGGGACCTGGGAAGGAAAGGGCGAGCTGGTCAGATTAGAGGACCCCTTTCCCACACACTGTGACGTCTGTCCTCGTGGCCACTGCTTGAATATTTTCTAGTCTCAGGATGTTGAATGTGTGTGTTGCACAGGTGTGTGTGCGCAGGTACTTGTTGATTTTATGTGCACACGTGGAGGCCATAATTTGGTGTCTGGTGTCTTCTTTGATCATTCTGTTCTTCACATGACCTTTCTGAGCCATGATCTCTCCCTGAATCTTGGGCCCACAGGCTCCCAGAATCCTCCTGTCTCTGTCCTCCAGAGCTGGAGTCGCAGCAGCTCCACTAACGCGCTGCTTCTCACTGTGGCTGGGGGATCTGAACTCAGGACTTCACATCTGTGCGGCAAGCACCTTACACACTGAGCCATCCCCTTTTCCCCAGCAGTCTGGCCTCTTAAGGCTGCATACCGCATGGCGTGTTAGGAGACACAACTGTTTCCCGTGCTTTCTGTTAGGATGAGGCTGAAAATAGACTCCAGCCCAGGTGTGCGTGGTGTTACAGCCCGCACTAATTCTCTCTCATCTCCAGTGGGATGGGATTTAGAAGGTGTTGTTGGAACGGTTAGAGTCAGAGGAGGCTATGAGGGCCGTACCCCACAACAGGTTAGTGTCCTTATAGAGAAAGAGCAGAAAACCGAAATCAATGTCTTTCTCCCTTTCCTTCTCTCTCCTTCGCTCTCACATAAAGATACAAAAAGAGGTGGCCATCTACAAGATGACCTCTGCCGGAAGCCCCTCTGCCAGCACCTTGACCTTGTACTCCCCAGGTCCCCGAGTAGTGTGTATCCTCATGGAAGCCTTAGGCTAAGATGTTTTCCTCCCACCACCCCAACTAGGACATCTGAGTGATAGCACTTCATTTAGTTCGCAGTTCGCCCTGATTTCCCAGCTATTACCCAACCAACCAGGCGTCCCTTGCTGGAATACAGCAGACGCTGTCCAGCTGTTCCCCAGTCTCACTCACAGGGCCAATCCCACCCTCCACCCTCCATGCGTGCCTGGAGCCATCTGTAGCCCCTGTCACAGACTGGCAGCCAGGCATTCCTGAGGGCAGTTAGTCTCCCTTCCAGTGCCACCAAACACCCACAGCATTCCCTCGGGTCACTGGCTGCTTCCTGCTGTGGGAGGAGGCACTGAGGAAGGAAGGGAAGCCACCACCAGCATCTGTCACAGGAGAGAAAGGCCTCCACCTGCTCTCACACGCTGCCTTCATAGATCTGTCCAGGAGGAGCTGAGTTTTAAACAGCCAGTCGGGGTCAGCAAGATGGCTCGGCAAGTAAAGGGCTTTGCCACCTGAGTTCAATCCCCAGGACAACTCCCATGTTGGCCTCTGACTACCCATGTGCCATGGCATGCACATGCACACACACACACCATTAATAAATAAGCAAACAAATAAAGTTAAGTGTAAAAGACCCACAGGAAGTATAGTTGCCGTGCTCCTGTCTGCCTCTAAACGATAAGAGTGAAATGCTACCCAGAAAAATACCCCTGGATCATAAAATATCCGTGACTAGCACATCCTGGGAGAGTGTGAAGAGCATTTCTCCGTGTTCCCCAAGTGTGACAGAGGAGGGGAGGGGTACTCAAACTCAGCTAACCAGGGGCACTGCCAAAGGAAAGAGATCCACCCGTCCCCCATCCAATTGAGAGCCTATGGGCTGTGGTGGCAGAGACCATTCAGCGCCTGGGACACAGCAGGTGAGGACGCCGAGGTCAGACTGCTGACAGAGAAAGCCTAAAGTCCAACACTGATGGGTGAGTGCAGAGTGCACTGAGACAGTGCAACTGCCACCTTTCAGGAGAGGCTGTCTCCACTGTGTGTGTGTGTGTGTGTGTGTGTGTGTGTGTGTGTGTGTGGATGGGGGATGGTGAAGGTCACAGACTGAGAGGACAGTAGTGAGCCAGGCCCTCAGGTAGGGAATGCTGAGGAACCTGAGCAAAGAGTTCAGGTCAAGTGCAGGGACACAGTACAGGCCTGCTAAGAAAGCCCAGCCGTGGCTCCCTGTGCAAACAGCATCACTACCCACAGCCTCGCACTTGGCAAAGATTTTGCTTGAAATTCTGGAAGCTTCTGGGGTTGTGCTTAAACACTCTGGACCCCAGGTGCTTGGACTCCTTCAGGGCACAGGTGTCTCAGGTGGTCACAGAGTAAGCATGCCTGTGGGTCCCAGGTCCCAGCATCCTCCCCAGTGGTACCCTGGGGGCTGTATTGTGCCTGCAGCTCACACACCCGCTTCTGGCAGGACTGACGCACATCCTCTAGCTCTTCCTCCTGGTCCTCACGGTCCTTCTGATGAATCTGTTTCATCCGCTCAATCTCCAACTCAAACCGCTGGCGAAGCTGGGGAGGCAAACAAGGGTGGTAGGTGAAGGTCCACACCCACGCCCTCAGCGCTCCCCCTCCCCCCAAACCTGTGTCCCAAGCCATCCATGCCACACCACCCTTGACCTTCCTCTCTAACGTGTGCCTCCTACTCATGGACACACAACACTGCCTATGCCCCCTCCCACGGGACACATCACTCATCCGTCACATTCTCCCGCTGGCCTCAATTCCCTTTCCATGCTCTCCAAGGAAGCTAAAGCCTTTTCTGTTTCAGAACTTTGAAACTGCTCTCTCTAATGTGGAAGCAAAGGCAGGAAACACAAGAACGGATCTGGGCTCCTGAAATGCTGGGAGCACGAAGAGGCTACCGGACGATGAGCGCCAAGCCCCTGGTACAGCCTGGCTAAAATTAGCCTCACTAAGACTGCAGCTCTTCTTGCACAATGGCAGAGGTTATGGGAAGATGATCCCAGATGAGGGGCCGTGTGAGGAAATATAATATTTCTTTTTCATTTTTTTCCCCCCAGCCTCTCGGGCACTTCTGACATCTGCAATACCATTTATGTCAAGCTTATATGAGTCAACATAAAATTCCCAGGAAAAAAAAAAAGTATCTTATTGAGATCAATAAATATCTGCCTGGACTCTGTGAGGACATGCGCTGTGCAAGGTTCAGGGGACACCACAGTGTCCGCTCAGCCTTCCCTTCCCATTTAAGTTCAGGTTGGGGTGCCGGGAAGGGGTGTCGTCTCCGCCCTCAAGGTCACAGCTCATGTTTCTACTTGTGGCCCTCTGTGGCGCTGGGGGGAAGCGTCGAGAAATAATAACGGTCCTTTCACAAAGGCCTGCTGGTTTGCCTGTGCCCCGCAAGCTGGGCCTGCTGCTCAGCGCTCTGTCAGTCTCGGTATCCCGCCTGTGTGGACACTGCGATCTTCATCATTAGCCCTGGGGCTGGGAGATTGCTGAGGCTCCCATCAAGGAAGTGAACCATCTAGAAACCCCTGGGGTGTGCCTGAGGTCCCAGGGACAATGAGCTGAGGCCATCTGAGTTGCCGCTCTTCCAGTGTCACATGACTCCGTGGCCTCCGGGCCTTTGCAGGAGCAGTCCACCTCCCTTGGAGCTCTCCTTCTGCCAGTGCTGACTGAGACTTCAGCTCTCCCTTCAGCCCTCCCACTCAGCCCTTCCCAAGACTAGATGAACACACTCAAGGTGCATTGACCCTAGCAGGCCTCCTAGCTCTGGGGAGGTGGAGAGCACCAGATGCCAGGCTTGCTTCTCCATCTGTGGGGTCTGATACAGACGAGGCATTTAACAAAACGACTGGCTAGGTAATGCCTGCTGGACATTCCTGAGCATCCAAGACTCCCCAGCCCCCAATCCTTCACTTCCCACACCCATGTCTTCCACCCAGGAGGCTTCGCCCTGTAAGACAGAGTGAGGTGGAGCAAGGTGTGAGGGCTGGCACCCTGGCTTCAGTGGGGATGCATAGAGTCCGTCTGCTCTAGCCATTCATGTCTCCCGGGCAGGCACTCCCAGAGTAGGCAGGGTTTAAACAGGATCACCAATTACAAAAGTCCTCCAGCAGAAATTCCTTTAGAACTAAGCACTGAAATTTCCCTCCCCTTGGAAAAAAAATTGTGTGGCTTTTATACGGGGACAGAAAAATGCACGTGTCTCCACTCCCTCTATCTCTCTGAAAAGCAGAAATGCTAATGCTGGCATTTTATTAATTGTGTAAAGGGAACATGGGTTTTGGGTGTCTCACTGCCCCCATCTCTCCTTAGTGTTTGGATTTAGATTTTGGGGGAGAGACAGAGTCTGTTACTGTATCCAACACTGGCCTCAAACGCTCCCTCTGTAGCCCAGGATGGCTTGGAGCTCATGGTGGTCCTTCCATCTCGACTCCAGGAGTGTAGGGTGGCAGGTGTTAGCCACCACGTGGGCGCTTGGCATCTACTTGAGCTTTTCTGGCTCGTGTTGCTGTATTTAGACTCTTTCTGTTGCTATGCCTGTGTCTCCTAACTGCTTCAAGCACCGTGGCTCAGCATGATGGTACCTAGAAACCAGCTGCCTCCCTGAGGACTTTGGGAGTCGGGTTTTCAGTCCCTGGCTACTCCCTCCGTTAGTGCACGTTCCCTAAATTCCAGAAGGTTCATCTTCCTAGATTCTGTGCCTGAATAGATGTTTGAGCCTTGTAGCCTAAGGATTCCAGCTCAAATCCAACCCGCCTTCCTTCTCTCTTATACACACACACAAATAACACACACACACACATATACATACATACATACATATATATATGACTTTAGGCCCCACACCCGTGAAGGGGATGTCCTATGCCCTATATCCCTTATGAGGTTCTTCTATAGAGCCATGAAAAGAGGTCAGGGAGAGTGAGGGGCCGAGTCTCATTCATGGGTAGCGATCAATCAATGATGCTAGATGCTTGGTGAGTAGATACGTGCTGCGCACCAACAGTGCCCCTGGTGTCATTCTTGACTACAGGAAGCACTGAGACGAGAAAGTAATCAAAACTGCCAGTCAACAAACAAACACCCTGCAGTCAGGGGACTTGTGTCTCAACTGGGGAGGAGCACGGTGAAGTGTGCCACTGAGCCTGGCATGGCCAGTGCCAAGGGCATGCAACAGCAAAGGGATGGCTGTGGGGCGGGGACTCCTGCACGGCGCTGGCTTCTCTGAGGCATTCTGGGGTGACAGGGAGCCACAGACTGCTGAGGAACAGCGGTGAGGCAGCTCTGCAGCGTTTTCACGCCATCCCTCTGTGTGAGCACCCAGCCCAGGGCAGAGTGGCCCCTGGACAGGGAGGGTCTCCTCACCTGCTCCAGCTGCCTGATGGTGTTTTCCTGCTGGCTGTGGACCTTCTTTTGCTCAAGGGCGCTGGACTCCAGTTCCCAGACCCTTTCTTTCAGGCTGGCCACGCCTTGCTCCCCTATAGAGGCACAGCCTAACAGCTCCTGCTTCTGGCCCTGTAGCTTTTCCACCTCCTGCTTCAGCTTTGAAGCCTCCTGCTCTTTTTGCTACAAAGAAAGGGGCAGAAGAATGGAATCATGTGACTACGGTCCTCCGACCTGTGCACACAGGCCTAGATGCCTCCCAGGCTCAGCATCATTAGACAGCCCATGCAGCACAGGCTGACTCAGGATCCTCCTGCCTCAGTTTCCCCAGTGCTGAGATGACAAGCTTACATTACCACCTGGGTTCCCACTTTGCCCTCCTCCACTCTTGCCCCCCCCCCCCCGTTCCTCTAGGGACACTAGCATGGCTGTGCTTTAAGAAGGCTCAGAGGGACCCTGGGAAATGGAGGGAGAGGGATTTTCCCAGACTTGAGTCTTGGCACATATAAGGGAAGTGTTCCTGTCAGAAAAGGGAGCCAGGCACCGTGCCAACCCTCAGCTGGGGCCAGACTGAGAGATCAGGGAGGGAGAGGTGACCCATCCATTAGGAAGCTAGATCCAGGGCAAAGTCTGCAGGATGAATGGCTGTAGACAGAGTACCCGGGTCATCCTGAGGGGTCATGAGGAGCTACCGAAGGATAAGAAGCGGCTGATATCACAAACTCCCTCTGTATCAGAGAGGCAGGCTGCAGCTCCTGGACAAGATGACTGGCTCAGTTTTATTCTCTGATGCACCTCTGGGACCTCCCAGGTAGCACTTGGGACCCTGTGACTGGGGCATGACGCCATAGAGGGTTATCTGTCTGTCAGCCTCTGGGGGTGTCATGAGGGCATGCTGGGTTCAGCTTTGCCAGCTGCTGGTGGACCACAGCACCCACCCAGGGCTCTCCTCCTTTGTCCCCTGCAGCAGGCGAATGCTGGTACTTCTAGAGAGTCCAGACTTCCATGAGTGCCCATGGCTTACCTCCAGCTGCTGCTGTAGCTGGCCCAGCTCCCAGCGCACCCCACTGTTCTCCTGGCTTACTTTCTCCCTGAGGCTCTTCTCAAACATCAACTCCCCCAGTGCCTGGGCCAGCTGTAAGTCAAACCTGCCCGAGACAGAATGGACACATCAGGGGACCGTGGTAGGGGAAACTGAGGCAGGGTCATGTGTGGATAGAATTAAAAACGTGAGATGGGGAGGGATGAATGGGCTTTTCTTGTGTGAAGTTGTTGGGTGGAGGGGGGGGGGGGAGTCTGGAACTCCATGGATAAGTTTCAGGTGCCTAAAGGATTTCCATCTGATACAACATAGAGACAAAAAAAAAAAGTGTATTTAAATACAAAGTAAAATTAAACAATGCATGTTCATAATAAAGAATATGATTATTAGAGAAGAGGAGGGAGAAAGAGGGGAGAGAGACAGACAGAAAGGAGAGATGGGAGAGAGAGTAGGAGCTACTCCATCTTGTTGGAGACTCCTTCCCTGTCCAGCCTGGGGTTTTGCGTGTAAGTGTCCCTGACTAGTGTGCCCATGGCTCGAGATCCCATTCCATGCCACAGGGGCTGGCACCAGCTGAGGATGGCATGCCAGGTGCTCACAGGCTGTCTGGTCCTCGTTGTTCCGCCTAGCATCAAAAAACAGAAGGCAGCCTGCAGGTCATCACATGGCAGAGGAAGGAGTTTCCTGCCCCTCCACAGAGGTGGCCCTGGGGCTGCCTTCCTGCCTTCCCATTCACTCTCTGCTCCTCTGTCCCAGATTTCCACCTCATTTCGGGTGAGCATCCCTTTAGAGAATGCTGCCATGCCACAGTATGTGTGTGTGTGGGGTGGGGGGGGGTGACTGAGTCACACACAGGAAGTTCCACTGCTCCAACAATCATGGTGTGGCATCTGGGACTTGGACATTAGTGACAAGAGGGATTCCTGAATGAGATCACCACACCAGCTGTCTTTCATAGCCCCTGGCTCCCAAGAAAGCCAATCATGGCTCTCTTTAGAAAGCTCCCCCTGCTGGAACAGCCCAGGAGCTTTCTGATTGGCTGTTGGTGATGTCATTTCAAAGGTTCTGTCTGCTGCCCCTGAATCTTAAGGATGGTGGTGATCAGGCAGTGCCAACTTCCTGGGCCTTGCGCTAGGGTCTCTGTGGTCTTTAGCAACAAGCCAGTGAATAATAGATAGCCACAGTAGGAAAAGTGAGGTGCAGGTGTGAAGGAAGAAACAAGTTCAAAGGGGTGCATTGGTTGAGGCCCAAATTCCACAGTGGCAAAAGGAATGTTGAACCCAGTTTCTCCAGCCTCATAGCCAATCTACCTGTTCATGCTCTGGAGCAGGCGGGGTAGGACAGCAAGGGGCAGAGAAAGACCAACATTCTGGAGGAGTTCTTGTCTTAATACGACACCTGATGCCCAAGACAGGTTCCCATAGACCCCCAATTCATGGAACACACATTTGCATACACACACACACACACACACACACACACACACCCTTCACTCCACCAAGCACAGGCCTACCCAGAGCCCAACCTCCAGAGGTTCAGGGCCAGTAGCCTGACACATGACTCAGCCCAAGAACTCCATCGGCTCTTGGAATGGAGCTTTGTGACCCATGCATGGAATCTCCATGGCAACAAGGCTGCAACACCAGATGGAAACATTCTGCATCACTTGAATGCAGAAGCCAAGGTGGGGATGGGGAATTCTAACAGTGTGGAGCAATGAAAGATGGAGGCAGCTGGGCCTGCAATTGAGACGGCCCTGGACAGACACACGGAAGTGTCTCTGGTTTCTAGAACATGCTGTATCACTAGAGGTGTTCAGCCCAAATGTCCATTGCACTGATTTCAGCCATCCCCATGGGCTCCTTTTAAGCTGCTAATCTTCCCAGAAGTTGAATGTGGGTTATCAGGAATTTAACATCAAAACCCACTTCTAAGCCAGTGCTGGTGGTGGAGCTCAGGGCTCCACAGGCAGGCGAGCTCAGAGACACAGAAAATCAAGGGTAAGAGGTGAGACACTTCCCAGAGCACAGAATGCAAGTCCCTGGGGTGAAGAAATCCACAACTCTAGGGCCATGGGCCAGTGCCTCACACCCTTAGGAGGAGCAGAATTCCCAGAGGAGGACCAGGAGAAACCTGAGGGTGTGAGTATGTTCAGTGCTCCAGTTATAGCTGTGGCTCTCGAAAGCCACACATTCTCCAGTGACTGGTGCAAGTCATGGGCGCCCCTAAGATACCAGTCATTCTGCAGCTCAGAGTGACACTGCCATTGGACAAGGTCACATACCAAGTGGCTGGCATAGAGTTGGGTCATTTTCCCCATGCAAGAGCGAGTGTTCACCCAGGTGGGTGTGGAATAGAGAATAGAACAAAAGGTCAGTGAGAAGAAGCCAACCTTTGTTTTGGGATGAAGATTCACCCCAGGAAAGCTCCAGATAAGTGAAAACAAGGGACGGTGTAGAGCTGGGCATGATAGCACACGCCTTTAATCCCAGCACTCAGGAAGCAGAGGCAGGTAGAGCTCTGTGTTCGAGGCCAGCCTGGTCTACAGAGTAATGTTTGAGGACAGTCAGGGATACACAGAGAAACCCTGTCTAGAAGGGGGAGGCATGGGAGAGGGGACAAGGAGGAAAAGGGAGAGAGAGCAATCAGAGTTCTTCTGATCCCATCCCACCACCTATGGAATGTGATCCTGCCCACAGCCTTCCGGAAACGAGACCACCAAGCAAAGCCAAGTCTGCCTCACCTGGGATACTTCTCAACAGGTCCTCAGGAATATTCCAACACAGGCAGCATTTTACCCACGTGCAGCTTAGAAACTTGCTACTGTGGCTACAGGCCCCCTGAACCCTCTTACTCTCAGCACGAGGGTCCCAGACTGGGCACACCTTACCTTTCAGCACTAGGGATGGGCAGCTAAGCCCAGTTCACTTGGATGCACAAGAGGAAGACCCCACCCCTCTCTCCGGTTGGGCATCTGTCTCCCAGAGGGATTGAGTATGCAGCTCAAACTCACAGAGCTAGGCAGGGGAGCAGTCAGATAGAAATTGGTATGATCCCCTAAGATGCACGGACTCCCGCCCATCACACTAGCTTAGCCTCACTCTCTACAACCAACCCCTTGATGAAAAGAGATGGTAGAGCCCAGAAAGGGCAAGTGATTTCCACAAGGTCACAAAGCCTCCAGGAAGGAGTGGGGGGGGGGGCAGCAAAGAACCATTCCTGGTTGGGGATCCTGAGAGCCCAACAGGAATCCATCCGCATGGCTGTGGGAATGAGGGTACTGCACTCTGAGCTCCTGGGTACTCGACAGAAGTGGGGAGGGGGCTTTGGAAGAGAAGCCAGAGGCCTCAGTGTACCCCGTCGCCATGACGCCCACCCTGGCGGGCTGGTCAACAGTGTGGCACGCACTTACTTCTTCTGTCTCTTCTCCAGCTCGTGGTTCCTGCTCTGCTGGTTGTCCAGCAGCACTCGAGTGTCCTCCAACTCCCACGTGAGGCGGTGGCACTTCCTCTTCAGCTGGTGAGCCATCTTCTTGGCCTCCTCATAGGCAGTCTGCAGCTCCCCGAGCTGTCAAAAAGAGAGAACTCAAAAGAAAAGGCTCACTGGCGCCTCCATTCCCAAGGCCAGCGCCATGTAAGGAAACGGATGCTGGGAGAGAGGACCTTGGAGGAATCCTGCCAGCTTCAGAGAGTTGCTTCACTGAGCCCCACTTTGCTGCGAGGTAATGTGTGGCAAGCCCACCGGTCTCTTGGTGATCTCTCTGCTGTGCCTCAGCCAATCTCCTGGCCCACTCCCACAATTCATTTTTCCCTGCCCTGCCTCAGCTTGACACTTTGACTAGCAGATGACTGATGGACCTACTGTCTGAGGAGACCTGTGAGGACTAGCTACAGAGTCACCAAGAGGGCGCGCTCTGCCAATCTGAGCAGGCACCCTAGAGGTGGACCCTCACAGGAACAGGCATCACATGGTCCTGTGGTGTGGGCTGAAGCCTACAGCTCTCTCAGGGCCATGAAAATACAGAAGCAAGAGGCCTGCATCTTCTCCAGACCACCACCACCACCACCACCACACACACACACACACACACACACACACACACACACAGTGTCCCAGTTTAGATCGGGGGAAGAGTGGGACTCAGCATATATGCTTTGAAGAAGTAGCCTCATTAAAAGGCTGCTTTAAATAAGCAAAACTCTGAGTTAATGAGGCCTGTAATTCTAAATTCAGTATTTGAAGGCAAATGGGATGTTTTCTTATGTTCCGCTGCTTGGAGAAGGTTGAGCTTTTATGACTTTTTAATGTGGTGTGAGTTACCCCCCTTCCTTAGGGAAAGTGACCTGACTTTGTGATTTGTCGTCACAGACCCAGGCTGCCACCTCTTTGTCCGTCTGTGTGTGGGCACCCAGGATGTCTATTAAGTGTCACAGTTCTTCATTCATCTTGGAAGTGACTGTTAGAGGCTGAACAACACCCTAGGGGTAGGGCTGGGACGGCTCACTGTACCTCTCTTACACTGTTTACAGGGTCCCCAATGATTCTTCCTCTGCCCCCTCTGCAGGACCCCACAGTTTGTTTTCCTCCCACATTGAGACTGTAGCAGCAGAGTCAGCCAATAAACGCCTCCACCCTATGGCTCTTAAGGTGAAGGGGAGAGACCAAGACATAAAGAGATGATGCTATGCTGCAGAGTGTGTGCCAGACTCGGGGAGAACAGCCTGGGGATTCCCAATCTATGGCAGCCAAGGCTTTCTCGAGAGGGGTGTTTAAGGTCTGAAGCTAGGATGAGGATATCGAGACAGAAGGAGAGGAGTCATCCTCCAGCCCCAGCAGCAACATATGCAAAGGTCCTAGGTGGAGAAAGTGAGTATTTGAGAAAGAGGAAGTCAGTGTGGTGCTGGGCTTACACTCTCAAAGAGAAGCACCCAATGAGAAAGGGAATGGGACACCCCAGCCTGGGCCATGGTAGGGAACTCAGAAGCCATGGATAAGGTAGGAAGCAATTGCCCAAGAAACCCAACCCAGGCCTCTTTCAGTGTATTTCTGACAGAAGACCCTTCTCATGCCCCATTATCAAAGGATGCCTGGTAAAACCAACACAGTCAGGAAAATTAGAATTAGTGGGATGTTAAGCCAATAAAACCTAGCTCAGCACACACACACACATGCACGGGTGCACACACACTTACTCACGCACACTACCAAGAGAGAAGAAGAATACTCCACAGCACAGGGCACCTAGGACTGCTGGGGCCAGAACAGAGGACCTACCCTCTCCCAATGGTCAATCAAGATGTAGAACACACTCAAAACTGTCCACCTTGACAGGACCATGTGCAATGCTAGAACAATCTGGAAGGGAATCAAAGCACTCTAACCTGTGGTACAGCCGGTGGTTGAAGAGATCACCAGCTGTGGCTCTAGTCTAGGGGAGACAGGTAGCAGAGGTGAGAAGTTGTACTGGAGCTGGAGACATCATGTGTGGTGGTTCAAATGAGAATGACCTCTATAGGGCCATATATTTGATTGCTTAGTTACCAGGAAGTGGGACTATTTGAAAGGATTAGAAGGATTAGGAGGTGTGGCTATGTTGGAGGAAGTGTGTCACTAGGGGTGGTCTGGGAGGTTTCAAAAGTCCAAGCCAGGCCCAGTGTCTCTCTCTTCCTATCTCAGCCTGTGGGTCAGGATGTAGCTCTCAGCTGCTGATCCAGTACCATGCTCCCGTGATGATGGTAATGGACCGAGCCTCTGAAAATGTAGAGGAAACTCAACCCACGCCTCTTTTGTGTTAAATGCTGCCTATTGTAAGAGTTGCCTTGGTTGTGGTGCTCACAGCCAGAGTACACTGACTAAGATAGCAGGAGAATTCCAAGAATGTGCTGTAGTGACTTTACAGAGTAGAACCTGAGGCCTAGATGCCACTGATTTCTGCTAAAGCCAGACCTCTGACATGGATCTGGATTCAAGGCAGGTGGTACCCTTCCCCCAGAACACCCTCCCCGCATTCCACAGGGATAGGGGTTTGTTCCAACAGTAAAGATTCCACCTCCTCCTTCCCCAGGACCAGACAACACAGTGGCCTCTAACTATGGAGGGAGAAGGCGCCCACCCCTGGGCCTCTGGGGTCGCGATCTCCACCCTCTCACCTTCTGCTCCAGCTCTGCCCGAGCCTTCATCTCCGAGTCCAGCCTCTCCTCACACTGCTGAAGGCGCTTCCTCAGGAAGTCGTTCTCTATCTGAGCGCAGTCCAGGCGCATCTGCCACTCGTCCGCTGTGGGGCAGAGGGGATGGCTAGTGAGGGATACGGCAGAGGCACTTGCCACTTCACAGTACTGTTCATGGCCCCCGAGCCTCAGTCTTGGCTTCTGAGGTCCGGGCTGAGGCAAAGCCCAGAGCTCCCTCCAGGCAGCCTGTCCTGACCACATCCACTGACCTCGCTGTTTTAAGTTCGGATCCCTTGTGCCCTGCAAGGGTGCCTGGATGTTTCTTTTTCCAAAGAAATCCCATAACCTGGAAGGCAGGGAGCTCTCTAGTCATTGGTATATCCCCAACACCATCTAGGTAGTTTTTCAGACAGAGGGAAGGTATGCTTTCCAGCTGCCGATGGACCCACCAGAACCATGGGGTAAAGACAGCCAGTGTGTTCCTGGCCACGGCTGGGTGACTTGGGCGGGAGTTACCAGATAGGTGAATGAATAATCACTCAATAGAAATTTGGCCACAAGATGCCCTGGGTATACTAAAACCCTTGATTTGGTTTTGAAAGTCATGTGATAGTTGACTCAAAATTATTTGGCTGAATTAGGGGTTATTATATCTTGTGTTTTGATCACCAACCAAGGTATGAGGTTTCTTAAGCTAATAGAGCTTGGGGAACATTTTTAGGAAATAGCAAATCCACTTCTTTATCATCTATATACATTGCTACCCATCTATATATATCCATTACCCATCCACCTGTCCATCTGTCCACCATCCATTCATCCATGTATCCGTCCATCTACCCATCATTTATCCATCTACTGACTCATCCATTTACCCATCCATCCATCCATCCCATCCCCCACCCATCCATCCATCCATTATTTATCCATCCACTGACTCATCCATTTATCCATCCATCCATCCATCCATCCATCCATCCATCCATATATCTACCCACCCACCCACCCATCCATCTATACATCCACCTGTGGAACACTCATTTAATGCACTGCTTTTCACCAGTACAATGGATAATTGCATTAATAACAAGTCATTTCTATTCAGCTTTTAGTACCATTTAATGGGAATAAGAAACACGTTCAAGAGAGCTACAAACTGGTTTGTTCCTGGTAAAAAGAAAATCATGAGAATCCAGGAAAGGACTTCTATCCATAAGTACTATCCTAGGACACACTACGATGATGAACATATGGTAAATGCAAACAAGTGTTCATTAAACAGACAGACAGAGGGACAGTTGATAGATAGATAGATAGATAGATAGATAGATAGATAGATAGATAGATAGATAGATGATAGATGACGAAATAGATGATAAGTGATGAGATAGAAGGTTGCATGGGTGGTTAAGATGGAAGAGTAATGCATGTATCCCTGATAAGCAGGTGTAATGGTGGAGGTTGGGATAGATGGATAGGTGGGAACATAGATAAGGGACTGATGGGTAGATGGGTAGAGGGATGGGTCAGTGAGCGAATGGATAGATGAGAGAACAAGGAACCAGTCTATATAACAATGCCCTGATTTATCCACTCACCTATTTCCTGGCTTTCTGTAATCTGTTTCCACACTTATGGCTAGTTTCCTGAGCTCAACTAAAATTCTTCTGAGGCCCTCAGAGTCCAGCCTGGTGCCAGGAGTGTATTATAAAAGACTCAATGTAAGTGTTTAGGCTGGCATAAGAAAGCTGGGTTTTTATGAGGCAGAGGCGGGCGAGGGAGGACAGCAGTGGTGGATGAGAGTGTTTTATTGGCCCTTTCAACTTTCCTGTATTTTAGAGGTTTCATGTAAAGAGTATGTATGGCTTTCCTAATGAAAAACAGACTCTCTGTGGCTGGCTTCCCAAACTGCACATCCAGAGCTAAGCACCTGCCTCATGCAGTGATCGATAGGCCTGTGAGCTAAGGACATCTCCACCTCATCAGCCCCCTGATCGCTGCAAAAGAAACATGCCTGGATAGCCTCATCCAGACACGTCCTGGATAGATGAAGCCATCCTGGGATGCCTCTGGGGAGGCTGTGCTACCGCACATAGCTGGCTCTGTACCAACAGATACCCCACTCCCTATGTGCACTCTGACCTGTTGAGTCTCTCCTAGCAGAAACCTTCAAATGCCCTGTGGTCCCTTCCCTGATCAGTTTATCAGGGAGACTCAGACACAAACATAGCAGGAGCACAATGTGTGTGTGTGTGGGGGGGCGGTGTTTCATCAGGCAAAGGAGCTTGAGAAGCCTCTAAGCATGATGACTTGAGTTCTACCATGAACCCCATGATAGAGAACATATTCCCACAGATTGTCCCCTGATTGTCACGTATCTTATGTGTGCACACACACACAGGCAGTGAAATGGATATAATGATTTCTTAAGAGCATAGTAGAAGCCCACTGTGTTTGGTGTCTTCTCCACAGACTCCAGACTTCTGTCCCTTGGATGGTCCTGATATTGCAAGGGCATCCTGAAGTCTGTTACCAATATTTTGCTAGCATCTGATATCTGGGCATTTTCTCAACAGCTTCAAATCAGCTGGAGGGAATACGCAGCATAGTGGGGACCGGACAAAGATGTCACCGTTCGGCTCAACCATGAAATCCAAGTCCCCAGGCAGTGGCATAACCAGGGCACACCGAGAGCACTCGGCGCTGCCTGCCTCTCACTGCGCAGTCACCCTGAGAGTCAGTCTCGACTTGATCATGTATGAGTTTGGCTGATGTGAGACCATGCAGAGGTCATTCCTGAAGCTGGTATGGCAAGCGCTTTACCAATGGAGCCACATTTCTAGCTCCTCCCTGCTTTTCAACCTGAGCCTTCACCTTTCGCCATGATCCATCTTTACTGGGAATTTGGGCAGATGGCACAGCGGCTGCTGAGTTAGACTATAAGCTGCCCAAGGGCAGAGTTGCACCTGTTTGGCCGCCACAGATGTGGTGGTTTGAGTGGGACTTAACTGCTCGGTGCAGAGCCATGATCAAGTGAACAGAGTGGAAGGGTGTTTCATCTGCCAGCTCCCAACCCCCGGGTCCCCCGCTGCTCACCTCCTCCTGCATGCTTCTCTTCCAAGGTGGCCTGCTGGCTCCTCTGCTGTGCCTCCTCCAGCTGCTTCTGCACCTCCCCCAAGGCATCCTGCGCTTGCTGGTATTTAGCCTGGAAGAAAGGCTCCGTGTCATGTCGGCGGAGGTTTGGAAACAATGGAATCTCTACCCCCAAGCCCCAGTAGTGTATTGAAAAACTAGTTTATGGCACCATGAAAGGTTGGACCTGGTAGAGGGCTTTATGGCCCTGGTATGGAGGCTCTTGTGAGACTCTTGCTTTAGTTATTACAGAGGGCTACAGTGGGGAACCCAGAGACCCCGCCCCCTCTAGCTTCCTATTTAGTTCAGAAACCTTTCTCTCCCGACATGGTGCCAGTTGCCTTAGGTTTTCACCAAAGGCTGAGCCAATAGGGCAGCCCAAGACCTTCAGTCCCCAGAGCCAAGAGCTAGCAGACCTCTTTGCTTTATAAAGAAATCCACTTGAGATATTTTGCTGTCATAATGAAAATGGACTAAACTGGCCAAGACTGGCCCTTTCACGGGTGACCACCCAAAGCCAGGGTTTGGTCACCTGTTACACACGCATGAGACAGGCATGGTACACATATCATGCACACACATCATGCTTCCACTGCTCAGGTCACTACCCACAGCACCTCCCAGGCTTTTGGGAAGACCCAAGTGTCCCTAGGACCCAGGACACAGAAGTCAGCTAGCCTTCGTATCTCACTTGGGCTGACAGGTCCCAGAGAGGCACCAGCAACCTGGACCCACCTCTTCAGGCCACCCCAAGCAGGTCACCGTGAGCCCTCACCTTGAGCTCCTGAACCTCTCGGAGGGCCTGAAGCCTCTCGGCCCGCTCGCTCTCCAGTGCCTGGCAGGTCACGTCACCCTTGAAGCGTTCATCAGCAAGCTCTGAGGTCAGGTCCGTGATCTGAGGACGAGAAACCACCGAGACCACTGGCTGTGCTTTCCTCTCCACGCTGCACGCAGCGCAGGGCTGTCCTAGGACAAAGCGCTGCTTCGTGGACATGAAGGCCAAGAGCTCACACTTCCGGACGTAACTGTTCCGTCTCGTTAGTGCACACTGGGTCCCCTGATTATCACTTGTATCCTCTTCAAAAGGCAGGGAGGGAACTAATAGAACTTTTTGGTAGTAAGTGAGATAAGCCCTGGCACATAGTAGGTACCCAACTAAGGGCAGCTGAACTTGAACAGCCCCGCAGGAAGCAACGTTACTGTGCCCATGTAAGGCACAAGCACAGCTGAATGCTCTGTGCAGAGCACGCTCTGTGGGCCGTGGTGCCAGCTCTCCGCCTTCCCAGCCTGTCTTCGCTGCACCCGACCTGTAATGTATTAGTGATTACACAGACCTGTTAATAGGGGGCAGAGAGTTAACATGACATGTGAGCTGATAAAGGTGACTTGCTTTCTCCAGAGCTGACAGCTAAACCCCAGTGCTGCCACCACCACAGAAAAGAAAATAAAGTGAAGACCCAGCATCAAATGGTCTCACGTAGCCCAGTTACTCAGCTGAGGATGGCCTTGAACTCCTGATCCTTCTGCCTCCCAAGTGTTGGGGCTACAGTTGTGGTGCATGTATATGCCATGCTGGGAATGGAACGTGGGGTTCCGTTGTACATTTTTAATTGCAGATGCAAATAAAGTTGAGAGACAGAGAATGGAAAAAGGAAGCAGGGCTCAAGGTCAAGTCTCAGAGCACACGGCTGCTTGTTCGATCTTTCAGCCAGGGTCTTGGTTGTGGGGAGACACAAGCACTGAGTGAGGTGGGGTCCTCTGTCCCCTGGCACTCAGACTGGGGATCATATAGACGCATTGCCTCATTTATGTAGTGAAATATGGTATGTCCATCGCTCCCCCCTCCCAGCTTTGAGTTTTCATTTGTTTTTTGAAAACCCACTAAGTCCAGTCAGTGCTGACCACATGTGGGCATGGGCCATCAGTGGGAGCCCAGGAGATGTCAACCAAGGATGACCCCTCTCATTTTTTGGTCACACGATCACAGCACTTGGTGCCCACCCACTCATGAAGATGGTTTCACAAGGGCCTCAGCTGCACATCTGTACTGTGGAGTTCTTCCTAATGTTTTTAGAAGTCAGAAAACAAAACTACTGTGAAGGAAAGTTCCCGGGAAGATCCAGCCTGCCACAGAACTCTCAGGCTGACTGGCTCTTTCGAACTTCAGTCACGGGGAAAGTTTGAGTGGTGCAAGCCCAGAGTCTAATTGCAATTTGTCTTGGGCTGTCTTAACCCATTTGATTGACAAGCCATTCTTTGGCCTCTCCTTTGCCTGCCCTTACCTGCTTTAACTATCAGATGAAACCTTTCCTAGTGTGTTAATTTAGCATACACCTAGCTTCCTAGTCCCCGGCTAAGAATGTTCTAGCATTTGTAGCCTGTGGTAGAGATTTCCTCATTTTCAGTAAACTCAACTGTTTCCGCCATCATACTTGAGAAGAGTTGATTTATGGTTTTCTTTGTCCCACTACTAAATAGGTCATAAAATGGTCACTATGTTGGATTGTGGAGTTATGGGTAACCTGAATCTGTTTCCAGGATGTCACTCGTATTTGGCTCTAGAACAAATGTCCTTGAGTTGAGAACTGTGTTGCTGGGAAAACAATTGCACCACAGAAACTGGGGCCACTGTGTGTTCTGTGGACCTTCTTTCCCCTCCAGCCCGTCCTTGTCCCGCTGTGACCCAAAGGGAAACTTAAGGAAAAATAGAGCCAGAGAGTCTGAGGTATGGAGTGAGCTCAAGCCTGTAGAGCAAGCAAGTGATGAAGCTGATATCTGAGCTCATCTCTCTACTGAAAGTATGATGGCTACAGAGGGGGCTCCCAGGGACTCTGAGTGGGTGGCCTCTGAAAGGGGCCTTTTTGCTCTTGCTTAACCTTTTGGCTTTAAATAGTATACCAGGGAAGCCTAGCACACCTCAGGGAAGTTTGCTAAAGGGCAAATTCCCCATTGGAGTCCCCAGGGCCCAGCCCAAAAGCTAAGCTAGTCACAAGGGCCTCTGTCTCCCCCTCCTGTTAATTCTGGCCTTTCTTTGCTTTGGGCAAGTTAGACCCTGCTTGTGGCCTTGTAAAAGCCCTGTGTGGCTGGGACAGTGACCAGTACCATCCAGGAACATCCAGGGCCACAATCCTAAGCACCTGCCTCGCTAGGAATCAGCCTTGATTCCAAGCAGGGGCAGAGGATTCCTCGCTTAGACAATTAGTGTGAAATTTAATTTGTGCTAATCTGCCAGAGCACGGGGAGCACAAAATTAATTTAATGTATTAATTCTGAGTCTCGTGGAACCCGCAGTCTAGAGCACAAAGGACAGTCTGTTCTTCCAGCTACAGGAGACTACGGCATGGTCTCACATGGCAAAGACCACGCAACCCTTACCCTTCCTCCTCCCCCCTCCCTCTCTCTCCCTTCTTCCTTCTCCATCCTCCCCTCCCCCATTCCCTCGAAGCATGGGCAGAGGTCCTGATTGGAGGGGAGAACTCTACACTCAGAACCATGAAGACCACTTTAAGGGTGGATGACTCTGCCTTGCAAACATAGCAGAGTTTTTACAGATGTCACAGGCCAGTTGACAGGAAATCACTTTGACAACCCTCCCTGGATCTGATCTGTGCTGGAATCAGCAGAAATGCCCTTTCTACTGAGGGACAATGGTCCCGAGGGCAAGCTGGACAGAAGGGAAAAGGAATGGCCCCATTTGTATAGCATCAAAAAGAAAAGAACTGGCCTGGCCTGGTGGCACGGACCGGTTACCCTGGCAACCCAGAGGCTGAGGGAGATGAACCGTGTGTTCAAGACCAACCTGAGTGAAACAGCAAGACGCTGTCTGCAAAGAGGGCAGATTTTGTAGCTCAGCGAGGAAGTGCTCACTGGGCACGTGCAAATCCTAGATCAATTTCCAGTATTAAAAAAAAAAAAAAAAACAAAAAAAACATCCAACACAGGTTGCAGCTCAGGACAGATACGAAAAGCTGAAAAGCTGAACCCAGTTGTGGCTGTCATTATCCCTAGATCCTCCAGTCATTATGTGCACACTGACTGTGTGCCAGGCTCCATGCCAAGGGCACACAGCGTAATTAGAGATGACTGACTAATCCACATATCACAGCCTGACCCTGCCCGCAGCTCTGACTTTCAAAGATTTTCAAACCTGGGAAAAGCCTGAGGGAGGCGAATGGAGGGAAGAGGGCTCTCAGATACAGGGTCAGATGCAGGGGGTTTGTGGCTAGTGTTCTGCAGATAGGGAAGCTGAGGCAAGAAGGAATCAGCACGAGCCTAAAGATGCTATACCCATCCTGATGGGAGAGAAGGTATTCTAAAGAGAAATGTGTGTGTGTCCCTGGCTTTCAGAGCCTTCAAGCAATGGACCTCAAGGAAACTCCCTGAGGGGTCTCATGCTGGATGAAGGGAAAGGCTGGAGCCTGGGGCTTGCCAGGGGACTTGTAAGCCAAAAAGAGATTTCAGCCCGGTTCTGACAACCTGCCTGACCAGCAAGCCACCTCCCAAACGTCACACTGCTTCTGCAGACCGCCACCTTCAACCCCGGGAGCTTCCTGATGGGTTCTTGTCACATTTCTCTACCAAACCTCAAAAGTTGTTGTGTTGACACACCTCCAAATCTCAGCACACACTCAATGCTTGACCATGAATTAGACCTTAGGGAAAACCTATAACCTTGGGAAGAGGATGTCCCGCTTGTGTAGTTAGAGATCTGCAGGAGCCCCTGACAATCATGTCCTGTTAGATGAAAGGGGATGTGTCCCCATGAACAGAAGACCCCTCCCATAGGGCAGCCTCTCGCTGGCTCCCGTTCCCTTGGCTTCACTGCAGATAATGAGATCAGTCTGCAGCAACTGTCTAATAAGCCAGGCGATGGTAGTAACCGCCACCTCCCCTGCTGAGGCACGTGGGTTGGATGCAGGGCAAGGGACAGCAGGAAGGTGTGTCTGTGATGCTTGGCCTGGTCAGGATCACCTGGTCCCCAAGTGTTGGGATAACAGAGCCACACAGAAGGCCACACACACTCTCAGATCGGTGGCCTTGGGACCCTTTGTGTGTCCTAATGAGAAGCAACTCTTGCAATAAACTCTCTTTAGAACTCCTGCTAGAAATGCATGTGTTCTGGGGGTACCCCAAGCCTAGGGTCTGTGCAGGTGTTCTGAGGACACCCCAAGCCTGAGATCAGCATCACTGAGCCTGGGGTCTGGGTAGGCATTCCAGGGTCACTCCAAGCCTAGGGACTGTGCAGGTGTTCTGGGGGCACCCCAAACCTGAGATCAGCATCACTGAGCCTGGGTCTGGGTGTGCCTGCTCTATCAGGCTCTACAGGGACCTGACCCAGATTCCACAGTAAAACCTCTGTCAGCAAGAGTCACCTCAGAGCCCGTCACAGAGACAGGGAAGATGGGGATTCCCTCTCGGGTCACACCCTCTCCACACACCAGCCTGGGAGAGCATCACCTCTAGAGGTGCCTCAAACCCTCCTAAGCCAGTAATAGTTCTTTTCTGACAGAAGATTAGCACCTTTCTACAAATGCAGTGTTACAGTCTCCAAATCTCAGGGACAAGATTCGCTTCCCTGGGATGTAAGACACTCGCAGTGGGTGTGAGATGAGGTTGCTGATTGAAAAGGTCACAGCGATAGAAGGAGCTACACTGGCCATGAGGGGAGAAGAGTTACCAGCCAGAGCTGGGCCCTGCATGCTATAATACTGACCTGCCAGGCAGGGTGTGCCCACAGAAGCAATAGTGGCAGGATAGTTATGATTAGATCTGATTAGATCGGAAGCCTGCATTGGCAGTGCTAGCCGCCAGCCACCAGCTGCTTGTCTCTGTAACATCATCTTGTCCATGCACGGTGACATCAGTTTGCATGCCATAAATGTAGAGGCGTGCACGCGCGTGCACACACACACACACACACACACACACACACACACACACACACTGCCAACACCCCTGCAACCCCTTTCCATTCTGCCTGCTTAGAGCCTGAAGTGGCACTTACAGAAGCACTGATTTGCATTTCCTGATTGCTGCTGAGATGGAGCCTCTTCTCATGAGTGTAATTGCATCCTTGAGCATGCAAATCTCTGAAATAAGAATGCCCCTGATGCCAGAACATCATGGAAGATGGGGGAGAAAGAGTGTAAGAGCCGGGTGTGCGCTCACACACATACACAGGTGCGCCTGAGCGCATGCTCTGAAATGCTGTCTTCTGATTGCACTCATGAGTTCACAGCAGCTGTGGTTAACTGCACAAGATTAAGCTAGTCAATGTTCCAGAAGACTGGGGTAGGGACTCATGCCACACCTCAGGAGCTATTGCTGGAGAGAAGAAATCACTTTCCTCAGTGACACAGCCAGTGGTAAGCTGCCTGTGTTCCTGACATACTGACACACACACAGACACACAGACACACTCGCATACATGCACACATACATACATACACACACACACACACACACACACACACACACACACACACACACACACACACAGGAATAGCCAGTGGTAAGCTGCCTGTGTTCCTGACATACTGACACACACACAGGAATAGCCAGTGGTAAGCTGCCTGTGTTCCTGACATACTGACACACACAAACACGAATAGGCATTGGTAAGCTGCCTGTGTTTCTGTGACACCACAGACACATACACACTAACTAAAAGTGGTGGACCACAGTAAAAGGACAAAGCAAGAGAGGACTTGTTGGAAAGGAGCTCAGAGTAGCGGGAGGGGGATGACAGGGGAGTGTGACCAAAATAGACCATCTACATGTGTGGGACTGCGAGAGAATACATTTTCAGGATGTACGTATTCTGAGCTCAGTTGTGAAAAGGTCGAGCTGCTCTTCCAGAGGACCTGAGTTTGGTTCCCAGAACCCACATGCAAGGCTCACAACTGCCTGCATCTCCAGCCCCAGGGAGCCCCGTGGCCCCTTCTGGCTCCCTTGCAGTAGAAATAACGGGTCACAGTGATGTAAAAGGAAGGTTTTCCCAGGCCCCAGTGAGGCTGATTTCTCATACTTGCATACACCGTGCGCTTCCTACAATGGCTTTTAAATAAATCATCAGTAATTTGAGGGAAAGCAAAAAGAAAGAAGCTGCCCTGGCCAGGAACCGTCTGTCCATATTTTGGTCAGTTTTTAACTTTCCCTATCGGATGGTTGGTCTTCCAGCAGGCTGGAACATGCTCTTCGCTCTGCCCATAACATCACACCTTTGACACCACGTGTCTGCCAGTATTTATCACATCTTTGTTTCCCACTTCTATCAACAGCTTCCCCTTGTTTTAATGTGGTGAGACACCCCCCACCCCAACCCTTTCTCCTTTCGTGGCTTATGTAGGGGGCTTTTCTCTTTGGGACAGGACGGCATGGTTGTACAGGGTGAGGAAGATGCAGGGTGCCACGGCTGCCTGAGCACAACAGGCTGGGGCAGAGGGCCCTTCTCCCTCGGCAGACTCCCGGGGAGTCTGGGCGGCGGTGGGCGGCCTACCTTGCTCTCCAGCAGGTCTGTGCTCTGTCTGAGCTCACTCCTCGACTTCTCCGACTTCTGCAGCTTCTGTCTCAGCAGCATCAGCTCCTCCTGCAAGACAAAGGTCCTTGCAGAAGCTGGCCTGGATGAGCCTCATGGTCCACAAGAGGTCGCAGGGGCCAAGGCTGCAGGGATACACTGACTCAGCGAGCTCTGCGAGGCCAGTGAGGATGCCCATTGCAGCCAGCCCCCATTTGCTGAAAGAACTGGAGATGCTCGCATCATGTCAGTGGGGCTCATCACTCCACATGAAGGCCCCGGTGTCTACATCGCACCCCATAAATTCATGTAATTATTATTTTTCAATTAAGAATGAAACTTAAAAATAAAAAAAAAAAAAAGAATGGCTGGCCATGGCGTGGTGATTGGTCTGCACTCACCAGCACATATCAACATGTCTGCGCTTGGTCTGGTCCACACAGCCTACTAGAGGGGCTGAGTGCACATCTCCAGGTGGGGACAATGCTCAACTTGTGTGTGTGTGTGTGTGTGTGTGTGTGTGTGTGTGTGTGTGTGTGT